TCCCATTCAGACTTCGAGACTGAATCGCTGGTTATAGATCCCCCTCACCATTCACTAGAGGAATCTTTCTCAGTAGCAATCCCCTTGGGACGATTTTCCACTCGTATCCAGAGGAGCACTTGAGAGCCCACTTCCCACTCTTCCCCCTAGCACGCAGCTATCATTCCTCGCCCACAACTGGAGCCCACCGCGAGGGGAACAGTCAGCATATCCACGCGCTTTTTAACCTTTAGGCCAACCACAATTTCAACCTTTTTCGCAAATCCACGCTTTTTCGCACCTTCTTGCATCTTTTCACACTTAAACCGCAAATTCCCGCGCCATGTACGACCCAGTAGATTCATCCGGAATGCCCCTTCGAATAGCCGACTCAGCGCCGCGCTTTGCAGGCGATTATACTCAACTCGTCAACTTCCTGGAGTCAGTAGAACAACTTGCGCAACCGCTTGGTTTATCGGACAAGGATCATCAAGTATGCACTGAAGTATACAGCGCCTAAACAAAGGCAGCTTCTCTCATACTACGAAGGTGACAACTATGTAGCATTCGCTGATCAGGTCTTGTAGTTTCTATCTAGAATGTGGTGTTGACCACTATACGCGCCCCCTATCTTTGAAAAACCAGCCACCATCGAAGCGCCCCTTGCCAGCGACACCTCCGCAACCAGAATGCGCTCAAGAGCAACCAGAAGTAGAAGCCATCGCACCAATACCTGAAGTATGCGACAACCACCCTCACCCCAGCAGTCCAAGAAGCCGCCCCGTGATATCACCGCCCCAACATCAGTCCAACTCGAAGCGCACATCATAAGCGCACCTCAGAGTCCGCATCTGCACCAGAGTATCCACTATCTGAAGATATTCCGCCCCAGCTCGAAGTATGCGAGCCAATCACCGTCCCAATCCTCCCAGAAGCGCCTCTGGAGGGGATTATACCGCCACCACCAGTCAGCGATGACTCTAAACATCCATTGCACCTTAACGCGCCAATTCCGGAGCCTTCGCAGTACCAGAGGCTAATAACGCGCCGCTATCCGACCAGGTTATGTCCCCGGAAACTCCGTCTGTCGTTGACACATCCGTGCTCATCGCGCTTTCCGCACTCAGTGACCATCCGCAGGTGCAATATCCGTGCACCATACCGCTGCCAGTCAGTGATGACTTTAAACATCTATCCGTAGTCAGGGATGACTCTAAACATCCATCGCATCTTAACGCGCCTGTTGCAGAGTCTTCTGCAGTACCAGAGGCTCAAAACACGCCACCTTCCGACCAGAGTATATCTCTGGTAACCCCATCCGTCACTGATCATTCTGCGCATTCCGCGCTTTCCGCTTACAGTGATTACCGTTTGCCGGTGAAACATCCGTGCATCACATCGCCCATCCGCCAATTAGATCATGTCTTGCATGACTCTGATGCGCCTCCAGCGCGCCGCCATACACCTGAGGTCGCGCAGGTCATGCACCTAGAGGCATTGTATATTCATCCTCGTTCTATATCGCATTTCTCGTCCATTTCGTGTTTAAAGCTCTCAAGGAGCCATATGCCAGTCGCCATTATTTCGCCCTTTATCTCCGCATCATTTTATTGTTAATTCGTCCTTCATGCACCGCATTCGCGTGTCATGCGCTTATACTCCCGCGCTATATGCGCCCGCCATTGCAGAAGAGCTTTCCTGCTATCGCATTTTCACCATTTCATCAGTTTGAACCGCATTTCTCTCATCCAGAACCAGTCTCGTTTTAATTTGCCGTCCATGCGCAGCTTATGCGCACATTATCCGACCATAGAGCACCCCCACGCGCCTTATATCGCCCCATTAGGGCGCGCCTTCAACTTGTACCGCAAGGTGCAAGAATTCATTCCACCGGTTACTAGTCCGCCCTCAAGCCGCATTTGAAGAAGATTCGGTATATACCCGGTAGGAGAAGATGTCGCAGAGTTAGAAGATGAAGATACCGCTGCCCTCAGTCGCCTTAGTCGCCTTTCACCATCGCCTCACGCGCTTTTCGACCCGCAGCATCGCGCACCTTCAGATAGATGAAGAAGACCAGGAACGCACTGGTAGGAGAAGAAGTAGAAGAGCTCGACGAAGAAGATCCAAACGCGCCAGCTTCCGACCCATCCACTCCATCATTCAACCCTCGCCATCATCATCTGCACCACCCGCTTTCCCCCGCTCCATTGATTCCCAAATACCATATACCGCCAAATATACCATCATTTTCATAGGATATAGTTCGTTTTACCCTGGGTTTCGTCCAGCGCTTTTCATTTTCATTTTCCCTCATTATAATGTCGTCCAAAGGACTAATAAACGCGCTGATATATACGCCTATAGAAAACCGCCTAGAAGAAAAGAAGAAAAACAAAAGACCATAGATTGTGCCCGCCTAACCCAGTAGGATATCATTTTCTCTTCGAACGCATGAAGCGGCACCATGCACCTTTTACCTTAGAATGCGCCTCATATGCGCGCACATTTCCCACACTTCCCCACGCTCATAGGAAGGAATAGAAGTCGACAGAAGAACGAAGAAGCCAAGTCGGACTTGGACATCCGCACCGTTTGCTGTCTCTTTTTCGCGTTTGAATATAGTTTTACTCATGCCACTCAATCCCATAGCACCTATTACTTAGCGCGCCTAGTGGGACTTGGTTTGGACATGGTTTGGATCGCTTCCGGACCACCTAGCATCGCCTTATACCCCCGCAGACATATTGGACATGGACATCATCGCGCATTCACCTCCTTGTGTTTTCCTCGCACATTTGCACTTCGCGCATTCATCCCCTCATACTCCCTCGCAGATTCGCACTTCGCACATTTCACGCGCTGCATTCCCGCGCCTCATGCGACGCATCCACACCATCCTCGCATTATCAGTTGCCTCAATAGCCGAGCACACCTCGCATGCCCACCATTATCATAGTTCTGAGTTCTTATCATGATTCCCGCATCAGAGTCATTTCGTGCACACCTCCATATGCGACGCATTCTCGCGCTTCAGCAACACGTTCCCACGCTCGCGCGCGTCATGCATTAGCCACGCCTCTTCGCATTTAGTTGCACTGTCATCCACGCACATCATACTCGACGATCATCACGTACCCATATCACCAACTTTGCTCGAGATCCTCACCAGACGCGCTCTGAGTGGGGACACTCAGTATTCAAAGTCCCTGGGAGATGTAGAGACTCGCGTTTCTGCAGGCACATATGGGCTCATTTTACGAATTCTGACAACTGGCCTTCATGGCACAACTCGCACCATCATCCACTATGACTTCCCTATAGAGCGCACCACTTTCCCCGCGGAACGCGCCATAGGCACGACACTTTCCCGCACAACGCGCAGTATTCCCGCGTGCGCGCTTTCCTCGCGCTTAAGCGCACTATGTCGCACAGCATCCAGGAGCATCCATCCATCGTCCAACCAGTCCCTCGGTATGTCCCTTTTCGTTATCTGACCATATTTAGCATATTACACTTCCCATTTCGTTATGCACCCTTACTTTACATCACCTTTACCTCATTTACATACTTAGAGCGCTCCCTATTCGGCTCCGAGCCCTGGGAGAGCGCTTAGGTAGAACTTACATACACTCATGTTCGTTTTACACCCCAACGATTCCACCTTAGCTTAATACCACCACCTTCCTACCACTCAGTATCTATCACCAGTTTAGCTCCATGCAATGCACGTGTCCATCATTGTTTTGAGGCCCTAGCATCAGTCCATAGCTAGTGGCACTATCAGTATCCGTCTAGATCCGCGCTTTCCCTCTTATCAGTCTCAGTATATATCTTTTACACCTGTGCACTGCTTGCACTACCTTCCCACGCTCCGCGCACCTTCGCACTTCGCTTTCCCGCGCGCGCTTTCTCGCGCTTTCACCGCCATTCACCAGGGTTGTTCAGCATCATTCCGTGGATCCTTGCTTTCCTTGCTTCCCCTTTAGGGTCGAACGTTCTTGCATTCTGCGAGTATAGCAGCTAGGCAGAGCTGAGACTCACTTATACTGGCTGAGCACTTTTCTTATATGTGCCTGCCAGGTTGTGATACCCACAACGGGAACCTTATCCATAGTGTATACAATAGCCCACGAGTAGAGAAATCAAGGGAATCCGACCAACAACACTGGAGTCTGGAGGCAACCAAAAAGCAGTCCTTCCACGCAACTGCCGCGTGACTTGAGCTGGCTTAAAGCGGTTCAAGCTGCGGTTCATATATTTTTGGCTGACGAAAGTTGTAGCCGGTTCACATGGCTTATGAATCAGATCAAGCCAGTGACCAGTGGTTTGGCTAACGGGTATCGCCGAAATTCTCACAAACCGGTAAATACCGAGCCGGAGCCAGCCATAGCCGAGCCATGGCACTAGTAATTCTATGGGGCAGTGAGAGTAAGGTTATGTATAATGAATAATGAAGGATATCCTCAGGGATCTGTGAGAAGGAAGTATAACCATATGTCTCTAGTTAGCTATGGTTATGGATAATACTGCCAGGAGCAGGTGCTTGAATATGCTCATCATCTACCTTTGATGCTTTCGCTATGCTATGCTACATTTTGGGTCATAACGGTGCATCCAACTCTTCTATTATATCCTCTCTCAGTGTTGTATTGATCTAGGGATGGTGTTATACCTTCACCGGATATCAATATCGGCAATCACAGGATCTTAACTAGGATGTATCTGGCTGTGCAAACTGTTGCCACTGCAATCAACTCCACAATGCAAATCAATGATTCAACGTTCACCCATTTCTAGCATCCTCATGATACAATAACTCAATATCCGAGGCAGAGTGCGAGAAGGTGCGCATGAAGTGGCAAACTGTCCAATGACGAGCAGGGAGAATCGAGGTCAAACATTTGAGATATGTGCACACAACCGAGTAGGACGTGAGTTTTCTGTTTGTTTCGCGTGGCTCTTCCCTGTTTCAGGTTTTGACAGTACCTGGGAAAATCCGTCATGCTCTTGGGCCTGTGCCGGTAAGGCAGGTAGAGTGGAGGTGATTGTCCTTTTTGATGATCACATCATGATCAAAATGTCAGTATTGGATTGATAGACTCACGCGTAGTAGGGGCCTCTCGACAATGGTATCAGACCCGAAATCAAATAGTTCTGAAAGTTCTTCTCTTTGCGGTGTTCAAATTTCTTTCTGGTTATCTGAGCACTGGATGGTGGTATATCTAGCACATATCAGCGCCAGTTCGCCACTCCCCCCATCCATCCTCTAACAGTATGACCGTAGTCTCAGACGACCCTAGTTGGTGGTTGTGGATCACTTTGTGGTGCATTTCCAGCTATTTTGTAGGTTTGTGGCAGTTTGATGTTGACGCTGATATCCTGATCTAAGCTTGACTGTGATTTCGCAGTTGCTGCCTCTGCTGGAGTGACGTATGATTGGGGTGAGCATGATAGTATTGAAGAAGTACTGATAACCTATAAATATCCCCAGCACTTACATTTGGACAAGAGGTACATTGATGCTATGACCGGAACAAACCGCGCTAAGAAAAGTTTTATAGATCGAACTAGTTTGAGTGAGCAGCCACGTCAGGACTTAGAAGAACAACATTGATTTGCGACAGAGGCAACATTGGTCCCTGATGTCCATCCCTGTATCTTAGTGTATGTGGCTTGCATCATAGCTGTGGTTGGCAACCCTTGCTTACTCTTGAGAACATCTTAGGTGCGCTATCTTGGAATATTGTTTGCTGTGTACGTTCAAAAGGCTTGGCACTGTCATTGTACCAATAAACCATATATTACAATCAGCTTGAACATACTGAGTATGTCTTCTCATATTCACCATCTTTACTTTTTCTGATCTGCGGCATACAGTCAATGTTCCGACGATCTTGTTGACAGACGCAGTGAGTCTTCTGTACCTATGCCTGCTATTCCCCACTGATCAACTGCGGCGCCCTGTAGGGGTGAGTGTGACTCTTGATCAGCTTCTTGGTTCACTATACATCAGTAAAATACCACGGTTCTAAATTTACTTAATGAGCTGAAATTTGCGGCCAAGTCAATATAAGTCGGTCTTTCTCAAAGACCTTAATCTTAACATAAGCCTCTCGTCTTACACCAACAAAAGACTTAATAGAACTTGAATTTACTTAAATTTATACAGTAAGACAAATAAGCTCTAAGTATGCAAGGCCAACAAGATGCGATCAGAGACAGATGATAAAAATAAAATAGGCGACGGCGGGGAGCATGGGACGTGGATATAATGAGTGACAAAAAAAAACAGTGCCTGAGCGGCTTCAACGGAATGCAAAGAGGTCAGCAAATACATCATCCTCGTCAGGCGCTTCACTGGTGGTAGTCCTCGAGTTCCCGATGCTTTTCGTGTGCTTGGCATACTGTTGTGCCTCCCCAACAATGCTCGCGAAGGCATCGTCGGAAAGCGCCACAATGGGGCCCATGAGTTTGACGGTCATGTGCCCCAGATAGGTTTGCTGAAAGCAAACTGCTCGCCCTTCGTGATGATGGGGGTCCAGATATCGCCGCCGTCGGTCTTCGCACCTTTGCGTTTGCCGCGGGATTCTTGAATGACTTCGAAGGTGAGGTTCCCATCAATGATGAGCTGAAGAGTACGATAAACCTGAAAATATTATTTTTAGACAATGAACGGTAGAAATCGAATGACTTACAGCAGTAGCGGCGAGGGCAAATGCAGCCCACGCACTAATGCTCTCGGTGTCAAGGTTGGGGACTTCAACACGGCCGAAGGTGAAATTGAGGTGTGATGCGAATGTCTGAAGTACGAAGGGGGATCTCCACATACCCGTCCAGTCCTTTGAACAAATAATTAGATGGTTTCACAGTAATTATTATAGCCACTTACCTTGGGAACGAGTCCTAAATTATCCCTGAAAATGAACCGGTTATGCTTCAGCATGGCCCTTGAAAAGTCCTCGCGAGCCGCAGGATCCAAAAAATCAGCGTCCTGCGCAAAAAATGCAGTGAGGATGGAGCATGCTGCGATACCGAACCCTCCACGCCATTCCATAAGGCGTTGTTTGGCCTAAATGTTGGTTAACATCTGAATGACTGAAAAACAACTAGACTTACCACTTTTAGAACGGCACCAGATCTAGAGATCTCATGCTGAATCTTACCCCGGTATATGTAGTTCCAGATCTCCTGCATGGTGTCCCTTAAATCTTCGTCTTCAGGACCCCAAGGCTCAACTTCTCCACCAGCCCAGTGTGCGACAGTTGGTATGAACACCCAGCGCCAGGTATTACCATCCTGGCGTCCTTCAGGAAGGTCATCGTTCTGGTACCTGGTGATTGGCGCCACTGCCATCGCGGCGTGACATGACACTCTTGCTCTGCGGCTCTGTCTTTGCTCGTTTCGAAGGGGGGGCTGGCTATTGATGCTGACGCCGGTCTATGTTTAGCGGAGAGAAAATGAGAAGGGTATCACAAAATAAGTACCGGCTTACTGAAGTTGTTAGGCGTTTGGTGCCTTTTGCTGATACAGGAGCAGGGGGCGGTGATGTGTCCTCACTCTCGCCAAAGTCAATTTCCGTTGACAAGTCAGTAATGGGCTCAGTCGGGATGAACCTGGCGGTGGCTCTGGATGGTTGCGTAGAAGGAGGGGCACGAGGAGGGGGGGAGGATAAGGACTTGGTCCTTGCCATTATTGGTGAGCGTTTCTTTGGTCGCAATGGAGGCGGTGATAAACTGTTATCACTGACTTCCAATATATCCTGAGTGGGGAGTGAGTGTGATGCAAATGCATGAAAAATGAAAGAAATACCGCAGAAGTCGTATGCCTGGCACCAGGCTTTTTGGTAGCCTTGAAAGCAGCCTCACGCTCAAGTGAATCGTCCTCGTCCAGAAACGCTGTGGTAGGTTCTTCGAGATTGCCTTGAACATTGTTTGTGGGGTGCGGGCTGCCAGTGGGATTAGCCCTGGCGCTAGTGACTTTCGAGATCCTTGAAACAGCAGTTGAGGTGGTGATTGAAGACACCCGTCTGTGTGATTCAGTGCGAAGGCTTTCAAGTTGAGGGCGGAGCAACTTGCTTGTTGCAAGTTTCTCAGCCCAGTCCTTTGTTTTCCCCATCCCCGCATAGTCGTCCTTGGCGGCGCAGACATCCGCACTGAATCGATTGAGGTGATCGAGATGAAAAAGAGTCGTTTCGGTGAGTAACAACATGGCAGATGGAAACAATAATCGACTTACACTCCTTTCTTGCCTTTCTGGTCACCACGTGCCGTTGGATCAGCCTGATCTGATATATCGACCTTCGAATTCTGATTGTGAGTCATGTTGATGCCTGTATTATTAACACTTCGCTCAGCATGGACAGCCTCACGATATGCTGTCTTCTGGACACGCTTATTCCTCGGCTGCACCTCTTCATTCTCCTCCTCACTGGATACAACATAGTCAGTCTCTGTGTATGGTGAGTCTCCTGGAACCTTACCTTGGTTGAAAGTCCTTATCTCCATCATTATCGCCTGCAGCAACGTCCTCCATTTCGACATCCCCCATCTCAGCTGCTTCTACAATCTCCTCATCATCCTCAATGTTCGGCTGGCTCACCTTCGACTTCGACACAGGACACGCCCGAGGCCGAGGCTTTGGCGCATGCAAAAGGATCTTCAAGTCCTTCAATGCCTTCTTGTCTTCAATAGACGCAATCTTCTCGGTGGTGCGTTGATCAGCGGCTTCTTTCTCCTGCCGCTCATGCTCGGCTTGGTCGTTGTCTTCCTGGATTTGACGAGCAGTGCGCCTTTTCCTCTTGTTTTGGAGGAGGATCTCACCAGGATGCTGGTTCACATTTTTAGGACGAGTGTTTGGGCGCACCATTGTTTGAACGGTCGGGCTTGTGGAGGAGAAAATTTGGTGTAAGGTTGAGCGGTCACTATGGACTTTGAAACTCTAAGTTACGTGTCGCGCACCCTGTTTTGTATGTATTACATTACATTCTCCCTAGTGTGTTTGCTAATGGTTTGCACTTTTCAGTTAGCCTCCCATCCATCATGCCAGACGAGATCCCTCATGCGCAGCTCAAACGATGAGCGTTTAGCGCCCGCCGCATCCAGTATCCCTACCCAGGCTGCAAACGCTGGTTGAAAAATTCCTCTGGGCTGAAACTTCATCAAAGCTCGGCCCATAGCCACTCGTTTACCCATCCTGAATCGCAATGCACACAACACGCCTCTGTTGAAGAAATTGAAGATGAAGAAGCTCCCAGACGCACCAACAATGAGCTCTGGGAGTCGAAGCATGGACTTATTCGTGATTATCACGAGATGCTGACTGGTAAGTCAATAGTTGTGCTGCGGTGCCAGCTTGTCTCTGATTAAAACCTATACCCACAGGTCGTATTTGTGACGAGAATGGCAACTTTGTTGACCCTGGCACTCCTCCTCCACCATACACAGCAAAAAGTCCTGACGACTGGACTCCATATCGCAACCGACTGGAATTTGAGTGCGCAGATTTCATGTACACTGAAAACCAGATGTCCGCTGGTGATATAAACAAGATTCTCTACTTGTGGGGAATCACTCTCACTGTTCATCGCGACAATCCACCATTTGCCGACTACAAGGACCTGTACGATACTATCGACGCAACACCGCTAGGCGATGTCGCATGGGAAAGCTTCTCCCTGAAGTACAATGGCGATAAACCTGCTGGAGAGTGTCCACTTTGGATGGAACAGTCGCACGAGGTTTGGTTCCGGGACCCTCATACTGTCATCAAGAACATGCTCGCAAATCCAGATTTCAAAGGTGGAATTGATTATATGCCCTACCGTGAATTTCAGGAGAAGGATGAGCAACGCCGCTATAAGGATTTCATGTCAGGAGACTGGGCCTGGCAGCAAGCAGTATGTATTTTGTGTCTGTTAGTATATTCTCATATTGATGTCAGGTACAGGACCAAATCGCACAGGACCCATAAACGCATGGTGCGGCTTTCATTCCCATCATTGTAGGCAGTGACAAGACGACGGTGTCTGTCGCTACTGGTCAAAACGACTACTACCCTCTATATCTCTCGATTGGGAACGTTCACAATAACGTCCGGCGGGCGCATCGCAACGCATTGGCTCTGGTTGGATTTTTGGCGATCCCTAAGAGTATGTACCTAATTCTCTCCTAATCTACTTTGAAGCTTACACCATTGTATGCAGCGGAAAAAAGAAATACAGATGAACTTGGATACCGCAAATTCAAGAAGCAGTTGTTTCACTCCTCGTTGTCCAGGATCTTCGCCAATCTCAAACCTGGAATGACAACTCCAGAGGTCACACGGTGTGGCGACGGACACTACTGGCGCATTATATATGGCCTTGGACCCTACATTGCAGACTACGAAGAGCAGGTAGTATTGGCGTGCATGGTCAAAGATTGGTGTGGAAGGTAAGTGGCTACCAGAGATCCTCAGGACACCGCCTGTTCGTATCCGCATTCATCTCAGGACATCGCCTGTTCGTATCCGCATTCATGACCCCCAGCAATCCTCAGGACACCGCCTGTTCGTATCCGCATTCATGACCCCCAGGGATCATCAGGACACCGCCTGTTCGTATCCGCATTCATGATCCTCCAGCAATCCTCAGGACACCGCCTGTTCGTATCCGCATTCATGACCCCCAGAGGGATCCTCCTCGAAGTTTTACGCGATGTCCTCAATGTATCTGCCGTGTTCCCCCCCCCCTCCCCCCCTCCCCCCTTTTAGTTCTCTCTGGTTTTACTATGCAAAGTCTCATTTGTATTCACAGATGCCTTGCATTTCCCTCAAGTCTTGATGAAGGAGGTGTTTCTCGGTCACGCGAACATACTGATGCGCTTGTGGATTCTATAGATTTTGGTATACTTTGGGATGAGTATGGTATCATTGGCGAGTTAGTGGTATGTTTTCCCCCCATATCATTTGTGCATTGTTGAACTAACTGGTTGCACTTCATAGCCCTTCACCAACGACTTTCCTCGTGCTGACATTCACGAGCTCCTTGCCCCCGACATACTGCACCAGCTCATCAAAGGAACCTTCAAGGACCACCTTGTTGAATGGGTGGGTCAATACCTTGAACTCACGCACGGCAAAACACGCGCCAAGGCGATTTTAGATGATATTGACCGAAGGTATTTTCAATCTGCCGCTGCCTGTTGTGATTACTGACAATACACTAGAATTGCTTCCGCGCCGCCCTTCCCTGGCCTACGACGCTTTCCACAAGGCTGTGGATTCTCACAATGGACAGGTGACGACTCCAAAGCTTTGATGAAGGTACATTTTCATTCACTATCTCACGTTTATCAAATTTACACAGCTGTTATCTAGGTCTATCTACCAGCAATCGAGGGCCACGTACCAGATGATATGGTTCAGGCATTTCGAGCCTTGCTAAAGTTCTGCTACATCGTGCGCACGAACGTAGTGACGGATGACACTCTCGCAGCGCTGAAAGATGCCCTTGGGCGTTTTCATACTTACCGGACTATTTTCCAGACTACTGGCGTCCGCTTCGACATTTCCCTACCCTGACAACACTCTCTCATCCACTACGAGCTTCTCATCCGAATGTTCGGTGCTCCGAACAGCCTCTGCTCATCAATCACGGAATCAAAACATATCAAGGCGGTAAAGCAACCATGGCGACGTTCAAGCAAGTACAATGCGCTCAGCCAGATGCTCCTTACCAATCAGCGCCTGGACAAAGTCGCTGCAGCAAGAGTTGATTTCACAACACGCAGCATGCTCAAAGGGTCTTGTGCCTTCAGCTACTACAATTCATTTGGTATGTGGTCTGTTTTATTTTAATTGAATTTTACTCACTGAATTTCTAGTTGAGAATCCCTCATATATCGACAACAATGATGGAGACCCAGAGGTCCAACCAAACCCAGCACATGCAGGAAGCAACCCCTTTGCTATCGAGAGTGACGACTTTGACGATGTTGAGGATCAGGGTGTTGTAGATGACGTGGATGTCATTGCTGATGTGCAATTAGCACGGACCTTTCGTGCATATCCAACCCTCTACTCACTGTGACCTTCGTTCTTAACACACCGTTCAGAACGAAAACGCGCCCGTACCGTTGCTGATCTTGCAGACGAACTCGACATCCCATCGTTCCCGACCCTCATTCGCCTCTTCCTGTACGACCAAATACACGCAGACAACCACCATTCTTCTGCCGATGTCCCCCTTCGCGACTGTCCATCCTACACGGGACCAATCAAGATATTTCATTCAGCCGCTGCAACATTTATCGCACCCAGTGATCCGAGTGGAATCACTGGTATGCGCCGTGAGCACATTCGCGTTGTGCCTTCGTGGCGCAAGGGACCAGCTCGCTTTGACTGCGCCTTCGTCAACACGGACAATAGGCATGATGGAATGTTGAGCATGGATGTCATTCGAATATTCTGTTTTTTCTCTTTTACTTTTACTAACAGTCACACATACCCATGTGCCCTCGTTCAATGGTTCCATCGCATCGCCGAGGAACGAGACGAGCTCACAGGAATGTGGATGGTGGCACCGTCTTTCAATGAAGACGGCTCTCGCGATTTGTCCATCATCCATATCGACAGTATCATTCGCGGTGCTCACTTACTCCCAATATTCGGTACTCAGCTCGTACCACGCGGCCTTCGATTCTACGATTCTCTGGATGTATATCGAGGATTCTACGTAAATCGGTTCATCAATCACCATGCTTTCGAGCTGGCATCTTAATATATTCATTTTTTCTTGCAATGCTTAAGTTCAAAATTTGTCTTAAAAATACTTTAATTGTCTGAGCGTCTTTGTCGGCTTGATGGTAAGACACTTAAGTTGCCATCCAAGTCAAATCGAAGCCTTAAACATCTTGACGCACTTGGGCGCCAAACCAAGTAAAATAAGTTCGTAATAAGTTAAATTAAGAACCGTGGTATTTTACTGATGTAATGACTGCCATAGATGTGAGTCTGTTTGGAGTATGTGATCCGCCCAAGGCTGATCGCTAACTGGAGTTATCAGGCTGGATTCTGTATATTGTAGTGAACTGGATGTATGTTGTGGTATTTCCAATGCTGCAGAGTGAGTTTTTCCGTTACAAGACTTCAGTGATATTGACACTGAAACATGTTGCAAGTCATCATGATCACTCGGTTACATGCCATGTATCAACAATCCAGAAAGATGCTGATATTTCTCGTTGTAATCTTCCTGGCTGACACCATTTTCAACGTAGTGGTCTCCGCAATGTCAACGATGCATACTTCGGGAGGTACGCTTAAATCTGAATGAACAAAAATGTGCACGAAACTCATTAATGAATACCAGAGGAATACATTCTCTCTGGCACCTATGAATGCGCGACTACCTATGGGGACAATACCATCCTTCTGAATTCCCTTACTTGGATATTCGGCACTGTGTGGGAGGTCATCCCACTGTTTCTCGCAGTCTGGATTGTTGTAAAACACTTCTGTGAGCTGCGACAACATTCGACAGGAGGGGTTGTCAAGGATTGTTTCGCGGTATTGATAAAATCGCACGTGTTTTACTTTTTGAGGTGAGTTCGAGATATGAATATGGTTCCCCTTTTCCGCTAAAGGATCGAACATGCTAGCTTTGTTGCCGTTTCTTGCTTCAACCTCGTGATTGTGTCTCCAGCGATCTCAGTGGTATGCGGATTTGTCTGACTTCTGCATGCAACCACAGCTCATCATTTATATAGAACCCAAATACCCTCGGACTTGATTTTTATTATGGGACACTCCAAGTTTTGACGACCGTGCAGATGTTTGTGCTGGGACCACGTCTGATCCTTGGCATTCGAGACTATACCGCTAAGCTCGTGACCGACTCCGACGCGGCAACCCACATGACCTCAATCGCTTTTCAGGAGCGCGTGCATATATCGACTGGCAGTGGTGTGTAGCATGGGAGATGCTTCATGAAGTTAACGGTTGTTTGGCGTCTGCAGGGAGCAGGAGAATTTGGTTTTTTGATTCATTTTCAGTTTCGTCGTGGCACTTATTTAGTTATTTGCTATTGCGCAGTAAATTTCAAGGAGACATAGGTCTGGCAAAGTCTTCGTTGTAATGTGTATTTATGTATGCTACTCACTCTCGAGGAACGGGAAATGATCCGTTCGGTACTAGCCTGGTATTTCGAAGATGATCGGGCTCCCTCATCAAGTACGATAGCGACGGACGTCACGGATGTGTATACGGGGGGTGGACTGGGGTGGGATGCTTTGGTGGGCCTCATTGTTCTTCATCCAGGACACAGAACGTTCATCAGTCGACATTCACGATGGCGATGAGATGGTATATGGTGGTTAAGAACTCATAGCCGCAAATCAATTTGCGAGATCAATCACGCGGCACCTAGATTATAATTGAGGTGAGAGCATTAGAGTTGTTGTACCACGAAAGATCGCTTGAAAGTTGTTACTCACTTGGTTCCTGGTAATTCAATGATCGAGTCCATGTATTTCATAGTAGATAGTGTTTCCGGAATGCTCGCAGTGACAGTTCGATCACACCGACGTTCATGCGGCCATCCAGGATAGATAGCATTCGAGTGCCAAGAAGAACTGCACCATCATAATTAGACGCAACTCGGAGGAGATATCTACAAGATGAGTATATGTGCATGAATGAAGAGCAAGTCACTCACCGAATGGTTCATCTCCATGATCGATTAGCTCATGATAGTAAGACACTGAATCCTTCGCACCAGCTAAGTGAGGGCAGTGCACCATGGTGCGTGGAGATGGTTGTGGTTGGTTGCAAGTCAAGGAGGGAGCAGAGACTTCGAGAGAATTTTAACAAACTTAGCCAAGGTGACAAACTCGACTCTAATCCGATGACCAAGATGATTTGCAAGGCTGGTTAGTGGTAGAATAGCGAGTATTTGAAGAGAAGAAACAGGGGTCTGAAAAGACGTGTCAGCAAAGTTGGAAAAGTGTCTGCTTAGATGTGTTGCTTCAGACTGAATGACCAAATTTTGCAACCCATCGGATTTGCGTCTGATTACGAGGGTACGTCTGTTTAGAGTCGTGTTATACACGCTGTCTTCCTCTGGTTAGGATCTGGTTAAAATCTCGTTTCCGCAGTGAATATTCTAGAAGCCGCGGAAACAAGAGTCGGACGAATGTGCACAGTGCAGAGACGCCGAGATGGTAAGATGTCGAGGAAGGCGGGTGTGACAATAGGAAGCATTCTTGCTGCAATGGTAATGGAGGTATTGAGGCGAACAGCCTCCACGAGTGACCTGGGCATCTGGAAACACGAGGCAGGTAAATGCGGTGATACAGCATTGAAACCCACGATACACGGGCCTCTGCAACTTAGTGGAAGGCACCCACAATCCCTCCAGTCCACCTCGACCGTGCTCAACACCATTAACCTCCAGTAAAATGTCGGGGCCGATTCTAAGCACCACACCTGTGCAAGAGTTTAAAGGACATGAAGAGCGTGTAAATGCAGTCGCAATTTTCCCCGATAGACAACGAATGGTTACAGCCTCGAACGACAAGACACTTCGGTTGTGGGACTTGAAGACAGGTGTTGTGTTGAAGAAGATGGAGGGGCATAGCGATAGGGTGTCGGTCTTGGCGGTATCACGAGATGGTCAAATAATAATAAGCAGTGATTGGAGCGGAGAGGTCATCACCTGGCATGGAGAAACTGGTGAAAAACTCCCTTACTTTGACGAACACGACTGGTACTTCAGATCCAAGTTGGGCCCGGGCCAGATGTTATCGCTGGACTTTTCTCCCGATGGAACAGTGGCGGCCATCGGCTCAACAGACCGATCGCTGAAGCTGTGGTGTACCAAAACCTGGCAGCTGCTAGGAAATCCAATCTACTTTCGTGATTACGTCCATCGCGTTTTGTATTCACCGTCTGGCGAACTTCTTGCCATCTCCGCAGCAGGCGATCTCGAAATTTATAATTCAAGTACTAGGGAGTGCATCGTAAAGTGGAAGTGTTCCTCTACGCACATCGCGTGGACACCCGATGGCACCCGCCTTCTTTCAGTATGTGGTGATGATGACTTCATACGGGAATGGGATACATTGACCTGGCGGCGGGTCGGTGATCCCTGGAGGTTGGGCCACACTGGCTATATTATCAATGCCCTTGCCATTGATCCTAGTAGCACACTCGTTGCTTCCGGCGCCGTGGACAACGTCCGTCTCTGGCGGCTGTCAGATCGACAAACTGTTGCCATCTTCCAGCAATCGTCGTCATCCCTCACTTTCTTGAACGACAAACACATCCTCAGTGGAAGTTTTGACACTACCAATAACTCGGTCACAAAGTGGGCAGTAGACCACAAAGATGCTTTGCAGGAGGAAGGTGCTTTTCACATATATAAAGCCATTTTATTATTTTGGTTTTTTTCTCTCTGTTCTTATTTCGCTACTCTCCGGTCGATTTCCTGCCCTCTCATCATCTCATCTCGCGCAAGGGGGCCTTGCCGAAGGACCCCCCAGACAATAAGGTGACAAACGACGTAAGTATTCCGCCTTCGCCTTCTTCCACATTACTAACACCGAATTTTATTCAAAGGCTCAAGTCTCTGATTCCAAGGTATGTGTCAACCCTCGACTCTGATAACACAATTTGAGCATACTTCATGTCCCAGATCCTCTCCATCAACGTGACCGCCCACAATGCATGCATCGCGGGGGATCTGTCTACCGCTGAACAGCTATTTACACGAGATATCAATACTGATTCGAACAACTACGTCTCGTATGCTAACCGCTCGTTTGTTATGGCACGAATACACGACTGGGACCATGCCCTTCAGGATGCAATTAAGGTGAGATAGACTGACCCATCATGACCCCTTTACGAAAGGCCAACCTTCCTCCGTAACATAGTCCATCAGCATCCAGCCCTCATTGATAGGCTATGTCTCCAAGGGCATTGCCCTATGCGGAAAAGGTTACATCCGGGACGTGAGAACAGCATTTGACCTCGCGTCCGCGTTCGCGAGCGAAGATTCAAAAATTATGCTTCTCTTGATCAAGGCAATATTAGATTTTCTCGCACGTAATCCGTATTTCAACTCGTGGTTTTCAGGCCATCGCAATTTTCAATGCGGACCAACACGAGGAAGCAATCATCTTTGTGCAAGAGCTTGCTGCAGCGTGTCCGAATCATGACTCTCTTGCATGTCGCGTAGTGGAAGTGAGTATCATGTCCTTGATCAATCTCTCGTTCGTGCGTCGATGCCGATCTGGCTGAACTTCGCACATCAGGCATATCTGCGTGTTCAACTTGGTATCAATGCCATGAATGACGCCCGTCACGACCACGCTGCCGACCAATTCACTGCTGCTGTCAAGTCCAGCGCACTCTCATCTACATTGACCATTCATTCTGTATGCGAGGACTTTGTGGTGGTATGTTAATACGATTCATCCGAACATGCTTGTCATGTCGAACCCCATGCTTTGCGCAGCTCTTTGGATGGGACCTGAAGTCCTTGTGGCAAAATGCACACCAGAAACGATGCGATGCGCTCCGTCAAGCAGGTAGGCTGGTCGATGCCCTAAATTCATACCAAGACATGATGGATAAAATCGACATCAATACGATGGCCTGCTGTCTTGACTGGTCCAATGGCAAGTCTGGAGTTCATAATGTCATGCAAGCTACAATCCTCACCCGCATCTCACCCAGCTTTCGAGGAAGAATGCAGCGCACTCTGCCTTGACAACGGCCATACTGCCCTCGCTGCAGGCAATCACGACAGCGCTATCAACCTATACTCGGCAGTGATCAACGTAAATTCTGCATCCCATACCGCCTTTGCAAGTCGTAGTGAGGCAAAGTTGGGGAAAATGCTATGGAGGGAAGCATTTCTCGATGCGCAAAAGGTGCGATGACACCTACTCAGGACGTTTTGTAACCAAATGCTGACTTCAGTATACAAAGGTCATCCAACTCAACCCTTCGTCTTATGTTGGACACAAGTTGAAGCTCACAGCGCTTCAAGGCGCATCACGCTATGATGAAGCTATTGCGGCTTTCCGAATGATGTTCACCAAATTGGAAAGTGCTCACGACGTGGAAGTGCAAAGTAAGCCCTCATTGGCACAATTGTTTGGATGCTCAACCCCTCCCTCAGATCTTCGCAATCAGTATGCCAGCCCCTCTGAATCAGAAGGTGTTATCCGAAGTGCCATCGACCAACAACTCGATACCGCCCCGCTTCGTCTACTCAACACAGCCACCGGACTCTTATGTGACCGTGAAGCGCAGATAAGCGCCTTCAAAATGAGCGCAGAGCATAATAAGCTTTGGCTGTCATGGTCTATGAAGCGTGCAGACCTCCGAATCGAACACATCACAGAAGCGGTGGCGACTTACTTCCGTTGTGTCATGTTGTCCCATAGATGGGAAGGGAGGGAGCCGCTGCTGCAGGACATCCAGGGCAAAATTGTGTACCAATTGAATTCGCTTGGTGGCATCGTAAAGTTGCGGAGATTCTGCGAAATTGCTCGTGATGCGGGTTACCGCTGGGCATGGAGCGATACATGCTGCATCGACAAGAGCAGCAATGTCGAGCTGCAACAATCGCTCAACTCCATGTTCGTCTGGTACCAACACTCAGCACTTACGGTCGTCTACCTTTCGGATGTCCCGCCTTCATCCAAGTCTGGCGCTCTGGGGAAGAGTGAGTGGAACAAACGAGGATGGACCTTTCAGGAATTCCTTGCTTCCAAAGTCCTCATCTTTTATCAGAAGGATTGGACCCCATACCTCAATGATCGTTCTCCCAACCACAAAAAGTCGATTGCAATAATGGAGGAGTTGGAGGTTGCGACTGGCATTGATCGACAAGCCCTCATCGACTTCTCCCCAGGGATGAGCGGCGTACGAGAAAGGCTTCAATGGGCGTCAAATCGTGTAACAACAGTTCAGGAAGACATCGCATACTCGTTGTTTGGCGTCTTCAACGTCCGTCTGCCTGTGGATTATGGCGAGAAGAAGGCAAACGCGCTCGGGCGCCTCCTGCAGGAGATTGTTGCTCGGTCAGGCGACATTACTGCTCTCGATTGGGTCGGACAATTGTCCGAGTTCAATAGTTGTCTTCCTGCCGACATTACCTCATATGCCGCCCCACCATGTGCCCTGCCGTCTTTGTCTGAAGATGAGATCCAGGCAGAGGTCTCTTTACTGCGAAAAAATACCGCGGCTGTGGATTTGGCTTCGGAACTCTATGTCGCGCTGAAGAGCATGAGCGCTCCTCGGTTCGCGAACCGTAGACTGCATCTACCTTGCATCTCATTCCGTGTCACGGAAGTCAGACAAAGGCGTGGTCCAGCCCAGGAGACTCATTTCATATATGGAGTCAAAGCAGATGGGCTTCAAGACTTGCTGATCACCACTGGCGAGACACTAATTCAGTTCTCGCGGGAAAGACCCACTCGACAAACATTCGTTCTTGTCCGTCCATGGGATCGTCGTCTCCTCGAGCAGCTTGACTTCGCAGACGATGCGAGAAGCATAGGGGGTTTGTCCGAGTTCATGTCTGAGTCGGACGGCTCTGACGAGTTTCCCGGCGGTCCGCCTGTAGAAGAGGAGCATCACTCACGAGCGTTGCGAATGATGGTTCACCTTGGTCAGCCTTTCGGCGCATTCTTGCTAGCGCAGCAGCTTGTCGGAGAATACAAGAGAATCGCGTCGGACTATCACATCATTGCACAAGTTAAAGATATAGCTTCCGCTGACAACATCGACGTCAGTTCCCTAGAAATACTATAGCTATATTTAAAAACCAGGCTTCTATCTGAAGCTAACTTAACGTTGCGTCACAGCCCTTCACACTTGCTTCATACCCCATGTCCCAGTACTCCACGATGCTGTCGCATGTTCTGTATGTCATTATCTCTGATCTCCCGGGCAATACCTTTTCACCCAATCCCGCAAAACCGAGGTCTGTAGTTCATGTTATGCATGCGACCTTGAAGCTTTAATATCTAACCAAAGTCTATTGCGTCAGGTTCGTTTTGAGCTACAAAGATATTCCATTCGTGACTATCTGGGTCGAATACTCAGATATCCCCATCGCTATGAAGGCCATCGGTGCAAAGCCAAACAAACGCTGAGATAGCTCGGACGTCTATACCGTCCCTGTCCTCAGCGACCCCAACACCGGTGCCCTCATCACGGACTCCCTCGAAATCGCCTCCTACCTCGAAAAGACATATCCCGAGAAGCCTATCTTCCCAAATAACTCAGAACCCCTGATACGCGCGTTCGACTCTGCCTATATGAGCCTTATTCTATCTGGAATTAAGCTCTCATGTTCCTACGCACCATAGAAATATTGAGTCCCGCCAGCGCCAAGTTCTTCATCGGAGCTCGTTCGGTAGACGTCCCGTTGCCCTGGGATCCGAACTGTGATGCAGAATGGAAGCTACTAGAGAAGGGGTACAATACTGCATACGAGTGGTACCAGAAGACTGTCGGGAAGTGGATCATGGGCAACACCTTTTCATATGCAGACATCGTTGTTGCTTGTTGGTTGGTTGCATACAAACGAGTGCTGAAGGATGATGAGTGGGCCAGGATCAGTTCTTGGAATGGGGGAAATGGGCCAAAGTCCTGGCAGATGTCGAGAAGGAGTATAATTTGGCTTAGGAGAAGACTTGCACGTATAAGATCAATCACTTCAGGGGCATGGAAATGATAGTGAATGCTTCACAAATCGCCGAAGTCTTTCAGATCTTCAAACTTCGCCTGTACATACGATGACGATGTGCATGTTATATAGCAACAAGTGTACCAGCGCACCGAAGTTGTGGATCATCGATCAGCTGCAATTGGTTCGATACAACAAAACTGGCTCAATGTATTCGATAATGAAATTGCAGAAAGCCACGTATAAATCGCAGGGACTCCGCAACCAGCACTGAGCTTGAGTGACAAGCTCTCGCACTGGGGCGATCACTAGATACGTGTACCAATAAGACCCGGGACAGCTGCATGCTCCGAAAATTGGCAATGAAACCATTTGAATTCAGAACGATTCAGTGGAATTGGAGTAGCCATGAACGCGGAGAGTTGGTTGAAATCTGTAAAAAAATATCCAGAGTGTCTCACAGGTCGCAGGTCCATCTGGTTCAACGTCGAAAGCAGGCCTGTAGATGTCCCATCAATATTCACATCGAAAATGCTGGAGTACATACTTCGATGTCGAACTTGAAGTGAACAAGTGACCTAGGTAGAGGCTTTGCCACGTCATGGCCTAGCCTCCCTCATTAGAATTCTCGTTCCATTGGCCATGTCTTGTCATTCCCCCCGTCTTCCTTGCTGTCCCTCCCTGTCGTAACTCGTCTCCTATAGTTATCAGGTTTACTTTTTTTGCTCATTGTTTCCTCAGATGAGTCACCGTTTTTCGCCAGAGTCCTTACACCTGCGCGTACTTATTCTTGATGACTATCCACCCTGCATGTCCACCACGAAAGCGAGACTTTCGTGGTGCGGTGGGGGAAGGTCTGGCTTTGCTAGACCGCGCCTGCAGTCCGAAGCGAAGCCGGACGCAAGGGGGGCAGACCCTCTAAGCGTGCTGAGGCCAGATCTCGGGGTTGCAGGATGAAGGGGACCACGAAGGAACGAGGCCACACCAAAAACACGCTAGTAAGATTAAGGGAATTGGATGGGTGACTAAAACTTTGGCTGAGGGAACGGAAGACGCGGAAACGAGGCAAAGAAGAGAAGTCGGAGGGTCTAATTTGGGGCTGCGTGCGTATATGAAAACGCGGAGATCTATGCAAGGTGTGAGATGAGCACTGGCTTACAAAGCACCAGATCAACACGATCAACTGGGCGCGTTGATCGACCAACTCTATTGTTGGGTGAAAACCCCCGTACCCCAAACGTACGTGTAGCGTGCCAATGTATCTTCCAGGATTGACCTCGTACGACAGTTGTTAGTTGATAATATCATTCCACCATGCTTATCAGGGAATTACAAGATCACAGCCGATATGAATCCTCGCTATATAGAATTGCTGGTATGATATATCTTAGTCAATACATATCACATGACGACCGCTTCAACTGACCACCTAACCAGGGGGGAAGTAAACTAGCATCCACAACACCAATCTCGTCCGCTCCATCATCAGAATCATCCGAGGAATGCGTGATGGGTGTCCGCGGCATTGCCATAAGACCTACAGAGAGTTAACTTGACTCGCACAGACATGAAGATAAGACTTACCAGTCCGAGCCTGATTCCAAAATTCCGAATGGTTTGAGCAAACTCAAAAATGCGATGACGCGGTTCGTTTTTGCAGTGAGCTCAACAATGACACTGTTCTCGCTCACATCGACGATCTTTGCTCCAAATTGGTCGGATAAGACGGAGATAGATTGAAGGTGCTGGTGTTTAAGGCGGAGGGCCTCGGAGGGCGTCAATGGGGGTGGACTATGTGACTCTGTGTGAGAGTTAGGGTGAGCACTACGCTCGAAATTGTGGGCGAGCGTGGTTTCTTTTTCAAGTTTGGTCTCGCGATGACGCTGGATGGGGACCCCGCTTCGGTTCATGCGAGGGTCCACCCACAAGTTGATCCTCCAAGTACTCGGGACCAAGGATGGACACTTTTACGAGGAGTAATTCACGTGTAATAACACGGGTATCGGTATAGTCGAGAACAGCCCATACAGGCACCTATTCTGCAATGAGAAAGGCGAAAGAGCGTATTGTACAAGACAACTTACGAGGTCCTCTAACTGTCTTCTTGCCTGCTCCACAACGCCATCCTGTCCACTAAGGACGATAGACATCCGACTTAGGTCCCGAATTTCAGTCCGGCACACCACCAGAGAGTCAATGTTGAACCCACGACCAGCGAGAATACCAGATACGCGGGATAACACACCAGGTTCGTTTTGTACCAGGCAGTTAAAGATATGTCTATGTCAGGACTCCGTTAGCAAAGGTGCGAAAACTTGATTTGCGAATAAAATACACTTTTTAAAGGGCTGCAGACTCGGAGGAGGGGTGTTATAGAGGATGTTCGTCACAGCCTCTTCTGCACTTTGAGATCTTGGAAGGTCCGTAGCAGGAAGAGGTGGTGGACGTATCCGTTGTGCTGTTTTGTAGTCCAGCGCAGAGGTCGAGTCATCGATGGAGCGTGGTGGTTTCGGTGCATCTTCAGGAGCGCGAAGGCGTGTCGAGGTCGAGAAAAGCCGCGAATTCGCTACACGAGACGCGCAGCGCGACCGGAGTGCAAACATTGCTTCTTGGTGGCTAGAAGAACAGCTTGCTTGCAAATTGACTCACTCGAAATCACATCAATTTGCTTAGTAATACTTGTGCTAGAGCTTGACAATCCCGGGCAACTTTGCAATCGTCAACACAAAAGATTTATACCAAACAGGGCGCCCCCGGGGCCCCCGGAGGGATCCTACATGTATGAAAGTTCAAATATGCAAAAAAACTACGTGGTATAAAATTCAGAAGATGTAATTAGTATCCAAGAGAATCTTAGTTAAATTAGATTAGATGAAGCACTACACGAAGTTGGTTGATCAATGGCCTGAAGAAAGTGGAAGTGCGTCACGGTTTTCCATGACAAATTTTCTCGTGCTTCAACTTTCCGTCTTTTCGCGTGAGGCTTTTGCCACAGTACGAGCATTGGAAACGTGTCTTGACGTGAGACGTGATTATGTGACGAGGAATGCTCGCTGCTTGCATGCAACACTTGCACCCAGGCCACAGACAACTAATGACTTCAATACGCTTCGAACGTAGCGCGTGGACGCTGCGCAAGTGCGTCGTGATAAAGGCTTCAATGCACGGGATCAGTGCATTGCAGTACGTCCCATCACTTGATGGCAGCGGGCAACAAAAGAGTTCGTCCGAGTCGGTCGCCTTCAAGTTAACTTCATAATGCAGTTCTCGACTGTCAACAGAAAGAGGCACGTGTGATTCTGGGGGCACTGAAGAAGAAGGGAGGTCCAGGACGAACGGCGTGCACGGTGGATGAGCGTCACCTGGCGTTGTCGTCCACTCGCTTTGAGTAGATTCATACATGTAGTTGTCGGATGTGGGGTATTCATGGCCCGGGAAGGGCGAATAGTTGTACTGCCAATTATCGGGCGCTGACGGCGAGTTGCACTGGAAAGGTTTCTGAAGAATGATGGGACAAGGTTTCCCAAGCCCTGATGTCGATCAGGGGCGGCCCATGGAAATATTCCTGGGAACCTGCATGACTATGCGCCATATTCCTGGAACACACATGAGCGTCAAGGTCATTGACTCGCGAAGAAATACATACGTCGGCGGAGAATAATCAAACCCTCGAGGTAGAGTTTGTGATTCACCGATACCGGTGAACCGCCCATCGTAAAAACTGGACACAGCATGAGGACTAGCACACGTTGGTAGAAATGATAATCTTCTCACCTAACGTCAACGTGTGTATCCTGCTCCCAGAGGTATGACGACGAAGGACCGCGGTAATTGAGGCAATGTATCCATATCTGAGACGAAATGCAGTGGAGGCTTCTTGAATATGGCGGTTTTTGGAAACTAGTCATGTCTTTATACCAGCTGAAGGCTACCAGTCGGCTACTTCCTCGTGACAAACCGAGTTAGAAAGGGCGGCAGCTAGTCTAAATCTTTCTGCAAAACGTACATACAAAAAGTTGGTGTCGTAAAGCGCTAGAGGGGCCAATTAGAATGGCTGTCAACTGGCCAGGTGGTGATCGGAACGAGTGGCGGTTATTACAAGATGTGGTACACATGTGTACGCGTAGGCCTTCGCGCGGCAGGGTATGTCATAGATGAACTTTGTCCCGGGGCTACATGACCATTACGGTAGCGAGGAATTGGCGAAATTCGTAACTGGAAGGAAAGGGATGTATACTTACTGCGGAAATGTGGGAATGTATTTCGGCAACCCCGAGTGAAGGAACATGATGGATTGCTTCTCGCTTCTTGACCTTCAGAGTTTTTCGGTCCCGCTATTCAGAGGAGGATGATGAACTAGGATAAAAACTGGAGTCGTTCCACATGACACTGTCATTTAAGGTTGATACCGGCGGCCCCGATACTCATCTAGGCTCTAGACGCTACATTGACCGAACTTCCAACAACGTAAAGTCGCCAGCGTGTCGGGACGCACTCTGTGGGTGACCAAGTCCGTTTTCATATCCAAGATCCGGACGTACGAAAAAGCAGACCATGCACTGAGGAAACCGATGCAGTGTACGGCTGTTACGATATCTTTGACAATAGCGGTGGCGTCCCTCCCGTACAAATTGACCGTGGGTATTGCACAATTGCGTGAGCAGGTCGAAAGCTGTCGAAAGATTAACATTCAATGGCTCCAGGCCCTGATCGAGTGGTCCTGATTCATGCCAGGCTATTATGTGACCCTGGCGCCGCTTGTTGGCACGTTGCGGAAGTGACCGGGAAATGAAATGCCTGTGAGCCCATTAAACTGAGTAGGTGGACGACGACCTCGGACTTTGAGTGTATGCTCTTACCGTGGCTATCCTAGTAGAGACTTCGGCACGTCCACGGCGCATGCACGAGGGTATTCAACTCAAAGACTTCCAGTTCCGAGTCAAATGCGTCCGATTCAAGGCTCTTGGGCCTGAACTTAGGCTTGGATCGCTGATTAGCATACGACATAGTTACCGCTGGCAGTAAGGGTCACGATGATCTGAAAACCAAGATTCTCGAAAGAGCTGGTATCCCCCCGAGTGCTTTTCAGGGATAGTGCAGTAAAAACGTGCCGTTTGGATTACAACCGAGTCCTAGTGACCGTTACGGAGCGTCGTGTACGAGTCACTGGTGACCCAACAGGTCCCAGGGTTATCTCAGGGCGACAAAATGACTGCGAAGCTGACAAGCTTAAAAGTCAAACAGAAAATGCCATCAGGCATGTTGCAAAATAGTGGGGAAGTAACGATTTTTGTGCTTACGGAATTGTTTTTCTTGACCTCGCCCTGCAGCAGCCTGCAGCTGGGCTCTAAATCCAGGAAGATCATCGGCTCCGGCAGCGGAGGATCGCGGTCGCGACAAAGTATATGAATCCTGATCGGAATGACTAGCTCGGAGACATGCACGGTGAACATGATTAGTCCTGAACTAGCCACGATAAGATTTATACATGTATACAACCGGGGTAATTAAGTACAGCTATTTTCATATCAATAGACCTGAATCCAGAAAACTCTTATTTATTATTGGAGCGACACTGCTTAGACTAGCTACTTTTTACGGTAAGTCGTTGTTGACCTTACTTGTGGGGCTTGTGCGGGGCGGTACAAATGCTCTTGGAATCACGGCGGGCACGTACTAATCTGCAACTAGCTGCACATGGTAATGTGGTACTATGTTACTAGTACGTAGGTAATTACCATGGTCAAGCAACGAAGCCCTCGTCGTGCAAGACACTACAATGTTGTCAAAGGTAAGTCGTGCTCGTCATCAGATGACATTGCAGCTCTACTTAGTTTCTCTGGCACTTGAGCGAGATCGTCTCTTCGTCTCCGTTGAAATATATATATATGTCGACGGTTTCCGTGCAGATCGGCAGTCGTTGTACTAGTACTCCCAAGTAATGATTAATGATGACTTACGCGACTTACAAAAGTAGCTAGCATGATGTGGCGGCATTGAGAAGCAATAAGCTTTCAGATCCAGAGACGGCGCAAGAGTGGGAAATCAGACGTTCAAGTAATCAGATACAAGATAGGATTCAAGAGACACGATACTAAGTAAGATACACTTTATACTGTAGGGCTTGGGCAAGCTCTAACATTCATACGATTCTCTCTTGAAGTTTCAGATAACGTACGTAGCAGGGGGGATTAGTAGCTCGTCATTAGTCAGTGATCGGTCTGGACCAGTCCACATGAAGTGGTGTCGTCGCTCCAATAATAAATAAAAACGGCTAAGTGAGTTTTCTGGATGATATGAAAAAAAAATAGCTGTAATAAGAGTCAAGAAAAAGCGTAAGTAATGTACAGGTTCACACACAGCTCCCCGCCGGCGTGTGAGACACGATCATATGCATATGTTACTTCGCACAAGAATATGACATATCAAGAAAGAAATGAGCTGAAAAAACTACCCTCCATTCTCGCTCCCTGAGGCTGACATCATGACCATGACCCATCCGACCTCGTTGTCGGTGGCCCCTGATGGAATTTTCGAGAGTCTTCTGAGATCTTCTGATCTTGACGTCTCAGAAGACTGTCGACACCCCAAAACGACCTCGAAAAATTTCCGATATCGTCGCTCTTCGGTCCCAGAACATATATGTAGCGTACCCTGAGGGAGGAACATCGACGCATCGTGTCCGCTTTGCAATGCAGAATTATCTGATAGCAATCGATCTAAACTGCTTCGAGTATCTTCTAGGTTTCGATTAATGTCCTCGTTAATATCGGCACTCTTCAGAATTCAGTCTCAAAACATATATGAAAGAGGAACATCGTGTCTACCTGTCAATGCGGAACATCTGACGGAAATCAATTTGGAGCTTCCAAGGAATGTTCGTTTTCGCGAGGAACTATCTATCATTGGGAGCCCTGATCAGAATTTGTCAAGACACCGTTAAATATCACCTCACAAGGAATTTCGTCCTTTGAGAAGGGGATGGTCAGTGCTGCCGTTGCTATGCAGCTCGAGGGGGTAAAGACTTTACGATAGTCATATCTCAGAGACTCACCTCAACTAGGGTTGGTAGACACGGCAGTAATCATTCTCCCTCGGTAGCGGCACTCTGAGCAACATTTCTTATCGCAATTTTTTTTGCCTGGACGTACTTCTGTAGCAACCTGACAGTGTGACCAGAGGTTATTTAGCAACGCAAAGTATTGGCTCTGCGCTATGTGCGACGGTTGCCACAACTAAGGGCACAGTATGCAAAAACCGTGAGTAGGGATTATCAGACGCCTATGGATAATGCACATAACATCAGTTGAATACCGTACCAATCCTAAACGACCCACCACCACCATCTATCCAGCAACAGCCTTGACCCTCTGTTTAACCTCCTCCGTCCGCCCACTACCCCTCCCTTTCGCCCTCCCGAACACCACTACCTTCCCCGCCTCGCCCGCACGCCCAGCCCGACCAGCACGATGCAAAAAATCAATCATATTCCTCGGCTCATCAACAATAAACACATGCTTAATCATCGGCGAAAAATCCAGCCCGCGGGAAAGAAGCGAGGTCGTAACAAGCACATGAGGCGTCTGAGCCGGATCACACACGCCTGGACCCGTCGGCACAGGCCCACCCGTCTTCAAGAACCCATCGAGATGGTGATTCGACCCCCGTTTGCGTGCATCTGCACCGCCAGTGAGCGCGACGCATTTGATGCCGCGGCTGTCCAGGAATGCAGCGAGTTGCTCGACTTTGCTGCGTTTGTTGCAGAAGACCAGGAGTTTGGAGAGTTTGATGGGGCCGGGACCGGTTGCGGTCTTAGAGTGAACGAGAGCATCTTCGGCCCAAACGCGACGGATGCGGCGCTCGATATCTGCGCTCTTGTTCCCGCCAGTCCATGAGGTATGTTCTGTGCGAAGGGTCGGAGGAAGGTGATGCAGCCGCGGGGATGCAAGACGGGTGAGGGATGGGTGGTAGTTTGAAAGATAGTTAGCAAGAGATGTGGGGATTGTTGCGCTGGTGACAAGGAAGTTGAACGGGTAGGTGATTGATTGGGTAGGTTATGGCTTCTGAATCCGGAGTCGAGGATAAGGCCGAGGAAGGGATTACCGGGACAGGTGAACCACGTGCTGTAGCAATATCAGCAAGAAGCATGCGAGTGGATGCTTGGAAGTCCGGATCTGCATAGTGTCAGTAAACGTGTGCATAGCTTGAGTCAAATACGCACCGAATAGGACGTCTGCCTCGTCTACAACCACCCACTGCACGTTCTCCAAGCCCATCTCGGGTTCATCAACCCAGAACTCTCGCGGCTGTTCTTTATTGCCCCCGTCTTCTTCCTTTACATCTTCGTGACCTTCGGATTTTCCTTTCCCTATCCTCATTGCTCGCTCTCTTGCCCGCTCCTCCCAGTTCCAGCCTCTGCCGCGCTCCATCTCAAGAAGCTTCATTGGCGTACCCGCCAATAGGTCTACCGGTCTTGACCCACGAGAAGATTTGGAGATGACAAATTCAGCGTCACTCGCAGCACCAGCTTGCTCGAATTTTCCTTTCATTTTCGAAGCAGTTCCACTAGACTTGACCGTACTGGGTGTAGTTCGCCTTGCTAGCGCACATGACACGCAACTTGATGACATGGGACAAGCTCTTCGCGAAGCTTGCAAGCTGGCGAGTGAGTTCATGCGTAGGCGCAAGTATGAGCGCACGTGGATTCAAAGGCTTGCGAGATGAATGGTGGACAACAGCGTTGGACTGTTCGTGCTCCGTGCGTTTGAGATCCTGCAGTACCGGGAGGAGGTATGCTATCGACTTGCCCGACCCTGTCTCGCTGGCAAGAAGGAACTCCTTGTACTTCTCGCCTTCCACGTGTTCCTTAAACAAATGCTTCATTGACGACGCTTGAATAGCAGTTGGCCTTGCTTCCTTTCCCAGCGTCTCTTGTAAACTTTGCAACAGCCCAGGCATCAAGGGCGGAGAAGAGAACCGAGTGGGAAGGTCTTTGCTTGTGGAAGCAGCTGGTGCAGACAGATCAAATTCCTCTTCTAAAGGATTGACTTGAGGGGGCGGTTGACGTGCTAAAACCTTGCGCCTGTCTACACGTTCAGAGTGAGCTTTAATAGCCCAATTCTTGACCTCAGTCTCAGCATCTGCATCGTCTGTTGGTACCCGGCGCTTTGGAATGGACCTTGATTCCGAAGTCGTCCTCCGTCTAGGTGGGCTCTCTCGTTGTTGCGGCGCGAGGCCCTCATGCGGGACAGAATCACGCTTGAATTCTGGATGTGATGGTGCTATCTCAAGTTTTCCCAGCCTCTTTGCCTTGCCTGTTGGCTGGAGTGATTTCGCAAGACGAGTGCGTGGTGGAGAGGCTAGTAAAGAAAGCAAATTCGTGTCCATGTTATGCGGGAGAATCGGAATCAGAGATAGCAGACTTACATGGCTTGCCATTCGGTTTTTTGGATTTCCTACGCAATTGAGCCAACACGACAGACGAGGTGTGGAATCGCGAGGAGGTGATCTCTGAGCTCCCAGGACCAAGAAGCTGGCGCAGGCCAACAAGGACGCCATATGGCTGAAAAACAAGAGTTGCGAGAAGCGGCGTCGAAAGGAAAATACGACTGTCCAAAAGCGGATAAGCCCCTGTACGGCGGAAGCGAGCAAACACAAATTCAGAAGATCGATATGAGAAACGGCTATCGACGAGTCTCGAGCAAACCATCTCAGTCATTTGCTACGCTCTCTCGCAGGCCAGTAGGCGCCAGTCACCGAAGCCTGTAGTTTCACTTAAATCTGCATGGAAGGCGGTGGAGTTTCGAGTCTTCATGTGACACCATAGAATGTACAAACTCAGATGTCGGATAGCCTCAATTCGCAATACTCCTGGATGATTTATAGATACTACAGGATATAATCAACATATGGCAGGAACCGGTTAAGGGCGAAGGGAACTAATAGAGAACCCGCGGCATTCTGGCTCTTCCTCAGACCAATATATAGATACGCGGATAATGGAAAGAAAATGAAATACATCAATCACCACGTCATGGGATTTGATAGCTTGGGTGGTATGTGGCGATGTATGTGACAATGCGACGAGGCTTGTGTGGCTTTCCCTAAGAGAAATAAACATCAATTGCGTCCATTGGCGATATGGAAAGCTCACCGACGTGTGGTTTCAAAAAGCTCGATACCAGTGAGGTGGGACCATCCTTCCCCAGCGCCTCCTTCAAAGCCTTATAACTTGCCTCCGACGGCGCGTGGGTTGACAAGCGTTCCCCCGCGGTAAAAGGATCGTCACAAGCGAGGGCAATGCACCAGAAATATTTGCCCTTGGGAGTTTTTATTCGACGAACTCTGGCGTATGAGAGAACGCCCGACACTGCCATGACATTCCTCGAAACAATGCTAAGGATGCCGTGCGAGTCTTCGGATGTCTTAGCGGGCGGGTAGCCCATATCAAGGGCTCGCTGGTGCAACCAGCTCTCGGTCAACAGATATCCGCAGTATTTCACCATGACTACGATTGAAGAAGTATTAGAATACAGACAGTTCCGACGCAAGTCCATGCTCTTACCTTGGATCTGTGATGATGTTTGCGGATGACCTCAGTTTATATAATTTTATTTATAATTTCTCATGAACCACTATACTGTAAATTAATTCGAGATAGCAGACTTACACTGGCATGGCTTGCCACTCGGTTTTTTGGATTTCCTACGCAATTGAGCCAACACCACGACGAGGTGTGGAACTACGAAGAGGTGATCTCTAAGCTCCCAAGATCAAGAAGCTAGCACAGGGCTAGTAACAATGCCATATTGTGGGTGAAAACAAGAGTTGCGAGAAGACATTGAAAAGTGTGCAAAAGCGGATAAGCCCCTGCCATATGGCGGGAGCGACTTCCAAATTGAAACCATGACTCGGCACAAATTCAGAAGGAACAACTTGGGATGTATCAATGAGTATCTAATAGACCCCTAAGCCGTTTACTACACCCTCTTATAGCCTTCGAGTGTCAGCAAGCGCTAGTAACCGGTGCCTGTGGTACCATTTAAGTCTGCATGTAGTGGTGGAATTTCGAGTCTTCGATGTGACAGTACAGAATGAACAAACTCAGATATCGGACAGCCTCGATTCGCAACACTCCTCATTTATTGTCTCGATACAACAGGATATAGTAGGAACCGACAAAAGGGAGAGCTTATAGAGGATCCTCGGCATTCTGGCCCTTCCTCCAAGTCAGACCAATATATGAATACACACGTATAACAGGAAGAAAATAATAATGTACCACTACGTCCTGGGATTCGATAGCTTGGACGGTATGTGGCGATGCAGTAATGCGCCAAGGCTTGTGTGGTTTCTCTATGATAAACATTAATTGCGTCTATTGGCAATGTGTAAAAGTCACCAACGTTTCGTTTCAAATAGCTCGATACCAGTGAGGCGGGCCATCCTTTCCTAGCGTCTCCTTCAAAGCTTTATATTTTGCCTCCGGTGGCGCGTAGGATGGTAAGCGTTCCCCCGCAGCACAAGGATCGTCACAAGCGAGGGCAATGCACCAAAAATATTTGCCCTTGGGAGTTTTTATTCGACGAAATCTGGCGTAGGAGAGAACGCCCGTCGATGCCATAACATCCCTAGAAGCTAGGCTAATGATATCACGCGAGTCTGCGGGTGTCTTGGGGGGCGGATAACCCACATCAAGGGCTCGCTGATGCAACCAGCCATCGCTCACTACATATCCATAATATTTTACCATGACTACGATTGAAGAAGCATTAGAATACAGACAGTTCCGATGCAAATGCATGCTCTCACCTTGGATCCGTGATGATGTTTGATTTCAACTATGAACCAAGTGTTACCCTTTTATATGGAGTGTCATGTGACAAGGCACGTGCTTCTATATGGACAAATACGACGTGGACCCGATGACCTGAGCGGCTCGAGCCAGTCACGGTGGCAATTTCACCGCGTTGTATTCGCCCCACTCATTGTTGACCTCTTTTGTCTGTCGAGTTAAATGACTGATTTTTTTGTTCCCTCTCTTGGGATTTATTGCCACATCATGATCTGTCCGAATGGTACGAAAATGTTGACTCGAAGCAACATGAGCAAGTTTAAACTTGGAATCCATTGTTCACTCGAAATGCTCTACAATATTTAGCATCTCGTCGGAATGATACACTCTCAGTGATATTCTCCGCAACAAATTGAAGTCCGCATGATGTATATAATTCATATTGGTCGCCGTCATTCACCGCACCTGCATACTACTCATTTGCTATGGCCCCTGATCAATTGCTGCCACGCAAAACTCGCTTAGAGACATCGTATGCGTTTTCTCGCACATTCAATACCCGCAACATGGAATTCTATTGGTATCCACTGTGGTGTCAGACACTTTTCGATCTTGTGGCAGGTGTACCAAATTTGATTGTGGCGCCTCAATTCCCGGTTTGGATTGTAAAGCATAGCGACCAAGTCGAAGATGCAGATGATGGTGACGATCCTGATGAGGTAGAGGAGTTGGAAAGGATAGCCCAGGGAGAGCAGGCTGTTTGCAGGAGGCATGCAAGTCCCCAGTATCGACGTCGAAGAACTTGGGGACCACGAGCCTGAGATTGGGGCGGGGGATATTTCTTTCGCATCTACCGTCCCAGAAAAGGATGCTAGTAGCGTTCTGGTGGATTTTGCGGTCGTCAGTCTTACAGCAGTGCCTCGGTCAGAGGAGAAGCTTCGCTATGGAGGATTGGCGAATAACTGCAGCAAATACTTGCCTTCTCGTGGAAGTAAAAAGGTTGCGAGCAGGAGTTTGAAAGATGACGAGCTGGATGCAGACATTAAGTTGCATATTGAGGAGGCCAGGAACGATGTGGTAGCGCAAGCAGGGTATATTTTTCTCCAAGATGAAACAAAAGATTCCATCATGGTCATCGCCGCCGCAGGTAAGTCATCCATACTACACACTATCTGTATTACATACCATGACCGTATATTCAATAGGTCCTTATTGGAGTGGCACCACAATCCATCGTGGCGACGTCGAACGTACTATGGATCAACTTTCAAGCAAAGATCCGAGCTATCGGCCCCCTGGCGAACAGCTCTTTGACCAGGAGCCGAATTGGAATAAAATTCTTCGCCTTGATGGCGCATCCTCCATGGCGGCTTCCGAAGCCCGCTTACGCACTATTTGCAAGAAGATGAGGGAAATGGGAGATCAAAAATCGAATGCAAAGTAGTGTGGTGTTTGCTCGGGAACGTCGATGGGAACTTGGGCTTCGGATGAATCGGATCTTTTTGACTAAAACTTCTCCATCGTGAAAATAGTACTCAATTTTATTCCTAACCGCCACGGTCTCAACAGTAGTACAGACCAAATAATGAGGGCAAAGCGAGCCCAGTAAGCGATTGTGACAGTGGATGGCTACGCCTGTAGCATATCTCCGATTCTTGCAGATGCTTGCGAGGTCGCATTGTGTTGATTAATTGCATTACTTGAAGGTTTGAAGACGAACATCCTTATGTCTTGGGTGTATATGGAATACGAGGCAGGTTAATGTATTCAAATAGTGACAAACGCACAGCACATACACTTCTACAGCAGAAGGAGCCGCTTTACCTGGAGATGTGCGTTCGGAAAGGATGCATTTAGAAGTGAGCGAGAGGCTGCGTCGAAAGTCTCTGATTGTTATGTAAGGACCACGCTCCTACCCACCGCACCTGAAGAGGTCAAGGCGGTCTTCTATAACTTAGTGCCATAGTTTATAAACCGACACAATTGGAATTGACCAAAGGGGGGAGCTGCTAGAGGATCCGCGGCATCCTGGCTCTTCCTCTGGCCAATGTATGGATGCACACGAAGAATGGAAAGAAAATGATTATGTGTAAATGTACCATCATGTCCTGTGATTTGAGAGCTTGGGTGGTATGTGGCAATGTTTATGGCAGTGTGACAAGACTTGGGTGGTTTCCACAAGATAAATAAACATTAGTTGCGTCCATTGGTGATAAGGAAAGGTCACTGACGGTTTGTTTCAAATAGCCCGATACCAGCGTGGCGGACCTTCCCTCCCAAGCGCCTCCTTCAAAGCCTTATACATTTCCTCTGGCGGCGCGTGGGTTGGTAACCGTTCCCAAGGATCGTTACAAGCGAATGCAATGCACCAAAAGTATTTTCCCTTGGGAGTTTTTACTCGACGAAATGTGGTGTAGCGGAGAACGCCTGTCCGTGCCATGACATCCCTCGCGCCAAGGAGAATCATATCATTTGTGTCTTGGAGTGTCGGCGCGGGTGGATGACCCACATCAAGAGCTCGCTGCTGCAACCAGCTATCGCTAACGAGATATCCACAATATTTCACCATAACTGCATTGCATGAGAAAGGATTAGAATACAGACAGTTCCGATGCGGCTGCATACTCTTACCTTCGATCCGTGATGAATTAAGTCAGTATGTAAAGAGTCGACCGCGTCTTGCATTTTTACTGGATGTCATGTGACAAGGCACGTGCCTTCCACAATGAAACTCAGCAGGAACTTTAATTCGAGAGATGTGACCACTAGTAGTAGTACGACCTCCTGCATGCTTGCACTGTTGGCCCGGGTACCTTCAAACGCTGTCTTGCTAATCGCTGGCACTTCAAATCTAGTATAAAAGCTCGAGATCACCACCGCCCATTGTCTCACTACTCACTCCCTAAAATCCACTACGCCTGGTCTTACACATGGCGGTATCTAAGTGACTGTCCTTGGTGAAACCTTTCGCCATGTCCGAGTCGTTCAACTCAACTGCATATTTGGAGACATCCCAGAATGTTCAACTAACCAACGTTGGACTGGCAACGCCTTAGTCTGTATCCTACCTCTATGAGCTTCCAAAGGTACTATCACCATCTGATTTGAGAGGATCAATGATTCATAACTGAGAAGCATTCAGATACAGTTCTCCGCGATAGCGTGAGTCTACCACATTCCCTCGATTGATTTTAGCAATGTCGAGAGCTAACCATGAACCTCTCGTTCTCCGTCGATCTCAGCTCTTTTCCTACAACTTCCATGATGACGCGATTTGAGGAACACTTCCGCGGACTTGCATCTCCCATAATACTCCCTGTGCATGCCAGCTAACGCACGACGACACGCGTTGATGCGTAATATTGAGGGCGATAGCTCTGTTGAGGTCAAAAAAAGTGGGTGCGCAAGGCGACCGCTAAGGTACTCGGTTATGCATCACAACATTCGTGCCCAACAGAGAGTTAGTAGGCGCAGCATTTCTTTATATAGCTTGTCAACGCCATGGGTTTCGGTGATCGAAGCGGGTTTGGATTAAGAAAGCCAACTAATATATACAAGTAAGCCTACTGGGGATAAGCTACTGATGGTTGGCCCGATGAAGCAAACGACAGGAACACAGGATGAAAAATAGGCTGAGTGGTAAGATAAGACAGGGTAGGGACATGAGAACTTTGAACGAAGGTTGGGTGATGATGCAGGTCCTAGTTCCGCTGATAAGGACTTGCACAGTGCTGTTGAGGAACGCGGGTATGACAATAGGGAGCAGTCTGACTGGAACAGTGATGGAGTGCGGAGGCGAACTGCCTCGTGTCTTGGGCGTCTATGAAAACGTGGGTAGGAAAGCGTGGTGAAGCAGCATAAAAACGCACAATAAACGCACTTCTGCAGCTTGGAGGAAGACACCCACAATCCCTCGACCGTGCTCAGCACCGTTTACCTCCAGTAAAATGGCACAGCTCATTCCAGGCACTAGACCCCTTCGAATTTTTGAAGATCATGAAGGGACCGTAAAGGCAGTCGCAGTGTTCCCCGATAAGCGACGAATGGTTACGGGCTCGCACGACGACACGCTTCGTCTTTGGGACTTGGAGACAGGTGTTGTATTGACGAAGATGGAGGGGCATCGCAATGGGGTGGAGACATTGGCGGTATCACGACTCGGAGATGGTCAAATAATAGTAGCAAGCGGTGATTTGAGCGGAGAGGTCATCGCCTGGCACGGTGAAACTGGTGAATTACTCACTCAACCCATCAAAGCCCACACCAAGTGGATCACCTCGCTGGAGTTTTCCCCGGATGGCACGGTGCTGGCCACTGGTTCAAGTGACAGGGTGAAGCTTTGGCCAAAACGTGGCAGATGCAGGGAGAACCAATTCAATGTGGTGCTTATCTCCGCTGTGTTCGATATTCACCTTCTGGTGATCTTCTTGCCATCGCAACAGACTACAATATCCAATTTTATAATCCAGATACCAGAGAACGCGTCGCATCTTTTAAGGCCCACACTGGCAGGGCATACAACTTCTCACTCACGTGGACCCCCGATGGCACACGCCTTCTCTCAGGAGGCGATAAACACGATCCTACCATACGGGAGTGGGATCCATTGACCTGGGAGCAGGTCAGTCATCCCTGGGAAGGCCACACTAGCATTATCTACGCCATTGCTATTCATCCAGCTGGCATCCTCGTCGCTTCTGCATCTTTTGACAACCATGTCCGTCTCTGGCAGCTCTCAGATCGACGAACCATCGCCATCTTCCAGCACTCAGACATCCCGACATGTATTACGTTCTCTGTGGACGGCAAGCACATCCTCAGCGGAGGTGTTGATAATAAGATCTTAGAGTGGGCAGTGCCGAAGGACGCTAATTCGAAGGCGAGTTTTAAATTTCATTCCTGACTCACGTACCACAACTAGAACATTCTTCGTGCAGATACTCGCTATCACGACAGCCCGTGATGCATGCGTAACTGGAGACCTATCTACCGCCGAAGACCTACTCACACAAGAGATCCACACCGACGCCAACGACTACACTTCATATGCGCATCGCTCATTCATTATGGCCCGAAAACACGCCTGGGACTACGCCGTGGAGGATGCAATCAAGGTGAATTATACTGACTCATCATGGCCCCCTTACGAAAAGGCTGACTTTCATCCGTGGCATAGTCCATCAGCATTCGGCCCTCGTTGACAGGCTATATCTCCAAAGGCATCGCCCTCTGTGGAAAAGGCCACGTCCGGGAGGCAAGGATAGCATTCGATGTCGCATCCATGTTCACGAACCAAAATTCGAACACCAACCATTTTCTTCTCTTGATAAAGGCAGGTCAAATTTGTCTCGCATGCTCTCTGCTTCATTGCGTGTGTCAGGCCATCGCCCTCTTCAACGCAGATCAATATGAGGAAACAATGCTGCTCATCAAAGAACTGCGAGTCGCTGCCACTTGTCTGAATGCCGATCCTCTCGTGTGTCGTGTTGTGGAAGTACGTATCGCGTGGCCTCGCTCAGTCACCGAAACTGATTTTTATTTCTTGCACATCAGACATATCTACACGTTCAGCTCGGAACCAAAGCATTGGGTGACGCGCGTTACGACGAAGCCGCTGATCACTTCACTGCCGCTGTCAACGCCAACGCTCTCACATCGAAATACATCCATTTGATGTACGAGGACTTGCTCGTAGTGAGTCAAGATGATGCATACATAATGCTTTTCATAACTGAGTTCTTTGTCCAGCTCTTCGGCTGGGATCTCGAGTCCTTGTGTCTCAATGCACACCGTAAACGGTGCCAGGCATTCCTTTTGGCAGGTATACCTGATGCAGCCCTCGAAGCACACCAATACATGATGGACACCATCGATGAATCGATGAAGGCCAGCTGCCTCGATTGGTCCAACGGCAAGTCCGGAGTCTGTGATGCCATGTAGACACAATCCTCACCCATATCTCACTCAGCTTTCAAGCAAGAATGCAGCGCGCTCTGTGCTGCCAACGGAGATGCCGCCCTCACTGCAAGCGATCATGACAGGGCTATTGACCTTTACTCGGCGGCAATCAACTTGAATTTTGCATCTGATGCCGTCTTTGCAAATCGTAGTAAGGCAAATTTGGGTAAAATGCTATGGATGGAAGCACTTCTCGATGCTCAGAAGGTACGAAAGCGTCTATTGTTTCATAACCAATGCTCATTGTGGCGATACATAGGTCATTGATCTCAACTGTTTGTCTTATCTTGGATACAATTTGAAGCATGCAGCGCTTCACGGTGCACGACGGTATGATGAAGCCATCCAGAGCTTCCAAACGATGCTGTCCAAATTGGACAATGCTCCCGGCGACATTCAGACACGAAGTAAGCCTGCGATAACACATTCATCGACATGTTTAAGTCTTTCTCCAGAGCTGCGTCAGCAGTATCTCAGACCCTCTGAAGTAGAACGTGCTATTCGATGGGTCGTTGATGCCCAACTCGACAATACTCCGCTCCGTGTACTCGACACCACCACTGGTCTCTTATGTGATCGAGAGGCACAAATAAGCGCATTAAAAACGAGCATAGAGTACAAGGAGCTTCTGTCATCAACAATCACGCATCCAGACCTCGACATGAAGCGCATCAAAGAAGTGGTGACAACGTACTTCCAGTATGCCATGCTATCACACAGGTGGGAAGGGAAGAAGCTGCTGCTACAGGATATCCAGGGCAAGGACGTGTATGACTCAGAGTTGGATCCGGTTGGCGGCATGACGAAATTGTGGTCCTTCTGCAGAACTGCTCGTAATGCTGGGTATAAATGGGCATGGAGCGATACATGCTGCATCGACAAGAGTAACAATGTCGAACTGCAAGAATCGGTCAACTCCATGTTCGTCTGGTATCACCATTCCGCGCTCACGATTGTCTACCTGTCGGATGTTCCACCTTCGTCAAAGTCTGGCGCACTAGCAAAGAGCGCTTGGAACACACGTGGATGGACGGTTCAAGAATTCATCGCTCCCAAAGTCATTCTCTTTTATTGGAGCAATTGGACTCTATATCTTGATGATCGCACTTCCAACCACAAGGAGTCCGTCGCAATCATGCAGGAGTTGAAGGACGCGACGGGCATCGACCGACCAGCTGTTGCGGCCTTCCGTCCTAGTATGAGTGGTGCCCGAGAGAAACTCCATTGGGCGTCAACCCGCGTTACTACGCGTCAGGAAGACATCGCATACTCGTTGTTTGGCATCTTTGGTGTCCGCCTGACTGTAGATTATGGCGAGAAGCAGGACAAGGCTCTCGGGCGGCTCCTGCAGGAGATCATGGCTTGGTTGGGTGACATCACTGGCCTCGATTGGGTCGGAAAATCATCAGAATTCAATAGCTGTTTACCAGCCTCCATCACTTCATACGAAGCTCCACCATGCAAGCTACCACCCCTACCCGAAGATGAGATTCAGTCGTCGGTTTCTTCGCTGCGAAAGACGGCGGCTGTGGATTTTTCTTCCAGCCTTTATACCTTCCTTCAGAACATGAGCGCCCCTCGCTTCGCAGCGCAGAGACTGCATCTGCCTTGTATTGCATTCCATGACAGGGAAATCAGACGAATGCGTAGTCCAGCCCCGGAAACTTGTTTCACGTACGGAGTGAAGGCAGATGGGCTTCACGACTTGCTTATCACCACCGAAGATAGCCTGGTTCAGTTCTGGCCGGCAAGGCCCACTGAGCAAAAATTCGTCCTTATCTGTCCCTGGGATCGGTCTCTCCTCAAGCTACCTGACTTTGCAGAACCGCCTGAATTTGTGGAACCGTCTGGTGACTGGTTCAGTGGTTCTCCTGTAGAACAGGAGGTGGTTGATCAAGAATCACGAGCATTGCAGTTACTTGTTCACCTTGGACAGCCTTTTGGCGCATTTTTGCTGGTGCAGCAGCGCAGTGGAGAGTACAAGAGGATTGCATCGGATCATGATATCATTGGACAGGTTAACAACGTGGTTTCTGTTGGAAACTTGATGGACGTCGGGACCATAGAAATATTGTAGTTGTATGCGTTTTATTTATGGATCTGACTGGTTTGTATTTCTGTTTTAAAGATGATCCTCGTACAGTATACATATCATATATAGGCATGTGTATCGGACTACAGATGAAGTGTCCACACATGGGTACTCGGGTACAAATTATAATCCAGGTTTCATCACTTCCATTTCTTGCAACCCTTTGTCCGTCCTGTAGAATTCTTCGGGAGTGGGACTGTCACAGGTTGACAGTGTTCCAAAAGTTGGCGTCACCACGTCCTTCGACAGGTAAATACAGTAATGCACTGTCACTTGCATCGGTAAAACTTTGAGAATGTCTCACAACACAACAACACATTTAAAAAAAAATCGTGATTGACAATTACTTTCTAATACATGATATTATGACATACTGCAGCCTTACACTGTCCCAGTACAGTAGGATCCCTGTGACACAGGCTATGCTGTCCTAAACTCGTGTGGTTAGTGTAATCATACCTTCGGATAGACAACACATGAGACACTCACAACACAGAACCAGTGGAGGAGAGTGGCTGGACCTTTAACTTGGAGGTGGGAAGATGGTGGGGAGAGGAAAAGGTGGGGATGGAGGAAGAAAGGTGCAGGAAGGAAGTACATGGAGGAAGAAAGGTGGGGCAAGCAATTTATGTAGCTTGCAATGACTTGGACTTGGATATAATAATGGACTTCGCGATGCAAAGTTTGTATTTGCGATGCATAGTTTGCACTTTGCGATATGGAATTTGCGAGAGAAGCAAAGCAAAGCAAAGAGAACAAAGGGAACAAAGGGAAATACGCGAAGTCAACACTTTACAATGCAATGTTGCAAGCACGATGTGTGCAAAGAGTCAGATTATGATAAACGAGTATATCCGAACATGTAACTAAAAAGGAAAATCACTTCTAAGCATGTGACGACTCCTCCCATCACAGTCAGTTTTCACTGGGATTGAACTGGCACATCAGGAATGCTACGATCCTTACAAACAACACATGTCAGATGTCAGTAAAGGTAATCTTCATTGATATATGAAGTTTGAGTGCACCGCAAAAATCATTCAAAGGTGCTATGGACAGAAAAGTGAAATTTCAGCTATAAATTGCAACATCATGACCTTTCCTCCTGGCAGATTTGAGATATTATACTAGCCATACATAGCTCTACATGCCATGAAAATACATCAGCAAGAATTGTGTCTAAATAATGTGATTTGACAATGTTGTTGTGCATCGACACAAGTGATGGTGGAAACTCAAGTGGCGGTGGATTACTGTACGTCAAACAGTGGGCCCCTGTTATTTCAGTAAGTATGTGCAGCAGCAGCCTTTAATGCGAGGGAAGGTTTGACACCACGAACGGGAAGGAAGGACAGATTTACGACAAGTTGATAGTAGATGTACATTAAGGAGAAGCGGGTCACTCACCAAGGGCTCGCAGTTCATTCCATGCTGATTCAAGTTTTCCGCAAGAACACAACATTCCTGAATACTTCAGTGACATGTCAATAATTAAATGCAGGCTCGCACGTGTGATGAGAGCCCACCGATGTTAGTAGAGTGTGACGACCGTATTGCAAACTTTTATGGTGTAAGATTGCAACAAGAATGGATATGGGGAGGTAATTGGTGAACGAGACAAACTGAAATTAAATGGGCTGAGAGTTGGCTGAGAAATTGAGATGAGCGAGGAGCAAAGCGCTGGGGACAAAGCTGACACCTCTGAGAATTATTTGGATAAAACACATCTCGAACGATGGAAATTCCTCCATGAGAAACGGGTCTGAGATATGACAAGAGAGAAATTTGGTTGCATTTGGTGCACACGAAAATCTTGGGAATCGACGAGATGAGGAGATGATATTTGCAGTAAGCCATGTGCAAGTTGCATGATGAAATGTTGGAGAAATGGTTTGACATGAGAAACGATATTGATGCAGAAATCTCTGATAGGCAGCCAAATTCGAGGGTCGGGAAGTAACAACTGCACTATCGCCATTGGATTGGAGGGGATATATTCTGGAAGTTGTAGAAGCACAAGTCGGACGTATGTACACAGTGTAGTCGAGGAAGGTGGTTACGACTCGCAGAGAGTATTCTTACCAGAACGGTAGTAATAGCGAACTGCCTGGTATCTCGGGCGTCTATAGAAGTGAGCGTGCATAAAAGCGCACAATACACGTACCTCTGTAAGAGAAAGACACCCACAATTCCTCGACCGTTCTCAACACCATCAACCTCCAGTAAAATGTCACAGCTCATTCCAGGCACCATACCCCTTCGAGTTTTCGAAGATCATAAGCAGGGCATAAACGCAGTTGCAGTTTTCCCCGATAAGCGATGAATGGTTACAGCCTCGGATGACAGGACACTTCGTCTTTGGGACTTGGAGACAGGAGTTGTGTTGAAGAAGATGGAGGGGCATCAGGATCGAGTATTGGGATTGGCGGTTTCACGAGATGGTCAAATAATAGCAAGCGGTGATAGATATGGAGAGCTCATCGCCTGGCACGGAGAAAAGGATGAATTTCTCACCCAACCAATCAAAGCCCACTACAATTGGATCACCTCGTTGGATTTTTCTCCTGATGGTACAGTGCTGGCTACTGGTTCAAATGACAGTACGGTTCCAGTGAAGTTTTGGTGTACCAGAATGTGGCAGATCTTGCAAGGCGAACCACTCAAGTGTGATTATGGGATCCACTGCATTCGATATTCGCCGACTGGTGAACTTCTTGCCATCGCAACAAAAGAAAAAATCGAAATTTATAATCCAGGCACAAGGGAACACATCACATCTTTCATTAATGGTACTCAAAGTAAGATTCAGAATTCTCGCTAAGCTCGGTAAAGCTCGGTAAGAAGCTCACCAAACTCGGGGCTTGCCACGCACCTGACATGCGGCAGACTTCGGCACCCTAGCGGACTTCGAAAGTTATGCCTGTCATTCGACCACCACCTTGACATCGCTCTGCGCGACTGAAAGCTTTACAGACACCCTTTCCAAGGGGCAAAAACGCCATGGATCCAACACAGGGGCCGGTCACTCGCGGGAGGGGTAGCAAGAGTAGAGGCACACGGCATCCTGCTGTGGGAGGAGGGTCAGATCACCCCAAATTCCAGATACAGTGGCTATCTGCACCTTTCCGCACCCAGAAAGTCATTGACCACCTCCGTGACCACCCAGCTGACTGCCGGATCCTATTTTCCTCTGATGCAAAATGACCGCAGAATGATAGTGACCGTCCCTCAGGCAAAGATTAACTTTCAGTCCGCGCTGTCATCGCGAAGTATGTGTTCAAGAATGATGCTGACTATGTGAAGCATTACGCGGATGAGCCCGACAAATTTTGAGACTCGATGAATAGTCACATCAACGGGTACGTTGTTCTGACTCTCTTCCTCAAAGTGTACTAATATTCATTTCACAGACTCAGAAGAAAGTATTGTGAGTCCGATGACAAGTTACACTCAACCGGCACTGGTATCATGCCAGAGGATGAAGCGCAGAATTTGCACGGTGCGTTTTTTTTAAAAATTACATCTATCATAGCCTGACTGATTAAATTCACAGCGCAAATTTTGAAGGAATTCCCCTGGTATGATGAACTCATTGACATCATGGGGGGGAATCCAGCAATATCCCTCAAGACAGTCTTGTCACACCTGGGAATAGACCACGCAGCAAAATATTTCTCCATCTCACGTACCGCCGGCAGCTCGTATTCCAACAGTCTGGGCTCTGGGAGCGCTCAGTTTGGCGCCCAGCCTTTCTCTCCTCAGCTTCCTCCCGCTGGCGCTCAGCCATACTCTCCTCAGCTTCCCCCCTCAGCTTCTCAGCCTTACCCGCCCTCTTACCCTCAACCTTACCCGCCCTCTTACCCTCAACCTTACCCGCCCTCTTACCCTCAACCTTACCCGCCCTCTGGCGCTCAACCTTACCCGCCCTCTGACCCTCAACCTTACCCGCCCTCAGGCGCTCAACCTTATGCACCCATGGGCGCTCAGCCCCACGGCAGTCAATACGCGTTTGGCCATGCCCCTCATAGCCAGTACCCACATCACCACCAGTCTGGCGCGCCCCCCCGCACGCTCTCGCAATGACCCCAACTCGCTTCTCGATGATGACAACAACAACATGCCGAATTATTTCAGTCCTCTCAATCACGACGATGACATGGATTTTTCATTTGAAGATCTACCAAAGCCAACTCCCCCCCGCGACGTGATTACCGCGACGACCCCTCACGCTATTATTCTCGACAGTCCGCCGAGGTCTGCACGCACTGCATCCAAACGTCCGGCTCCTCCGTCGTCCCCTTCGCCCCCCATTACCCCTCCGCCTCAATCTCAATGATCCGAATTCATGCTGCCGCGCACATTGCAGATGTCTCACCCGGACAGTCGTGCATCCTTCGGGATGTCCAATCCGCAACGGCGCCCTAGCACGGGGTCGGTCAAAGCGTCCTCTCGCCGCTCTTCAGGCTCTTCGTGCTCGAAGCCTGCATCGGCGTCGTCAGCACCTGCATCAATGTCAATGATGTCACCAGCCAATTCCGCATCAGCATCCACAGGAAAAACGAGGCAGGGGAAGAAGCAGCGGTCTGACCTTCAGAGTCAGGTTGATGCACTCTCTGATGAGATCGAGAGTGCGCAGTCGGACCATGTCACTCGGGACGAACTCAAGAACGAGCGGTACATGGCCAAGTACAACTTTGCGCGCCAAGTCAACAAACACAAATTCCTCAAAGCCGAACGTGCAGATACTTTCGCCGAAGCTGCCACTGCGCATCAACGTGCCCTGGAGGCCAAGGAGTCCGAGATTCGTCTTTGAGAAGCAGAGATGAAGATGCACACGGCATTAGTGCAAGCGCATGCGGAGGAGGCGGCAACCATGCGCCTCAAGATTGAGTTTGCACGTCTTTCTGGGTCTGGGTCTGGGTCTGGGTCTGGGTCTCAGGCTTGAGTGTGATGCTTGCAATATCTCTTTTGTTCTTGTTTTATGCTCGTTTTCATGCTACTGCCTATGTCACTCATATGTAACTCATACTCTGTTGTGGTACTTTACTATACAATGATGTCCTGGTGTTCTTGCAAACTATTGTTAGTCTTCTCTGCGTACTGCTTTGGTGTGAGGACTGTCAATAAAAGATCCTTCAATCTCTCACGACATGCATGACCTGGAGTCCCCTCATACAACCTATCACCTACTTGCCCATCCCCATCAGGTCCTTCATTTGCTGGGTGAATGTAATTATTGTCCTCCTGACGGGACCATGCCACTGAGCCAGTTGTTTCCGTAAGAGCTTGATTTTCTTCAAATCGGATAATCATGTTGTGAAGTATGAGGCAACACTGAATCCAGTGGACAGCTGCCTGCAAGTCATCTGCTGAATTGATATTCTGTCGGAGATCTCGAAGGGATTGAAACCGCCCTTTCAATGCAGCAAATGCATGTTCAATGCGAACACGGACCTAAATAACTTGTAAAATTTCGATAATCAGGAAAAAAATAGTACAAACTTTGGAAAGATAATAATTGAATGTCCTCTGATTCGCTGTCAGACGACCACCACGGGGCTTCTTGAAAGGGGGAATACACCAGGTGCTCAATGGATAAGCACTGTCTGCCCAAACCCAGTGATCAGCTGGCAGAAGTGTGTCGTGCTCTTGATAGATACGAGTTGATCGAGTTGATCTAAACGCATATGCATTATGGACGCTTCTAGGGTGACTGAGAGAATAATTGACTATAAGAAGATTGTGGGGCATAATGACTGCCTTGAATTTATTTTAATTTATAATGGTAGAAAAATAAATAAAAAGCAAACTTACCTGACAGCCAAGGGAATATTTTGATTTCCTGTCATAAAAAGCCTCGTGGTAAAAACCCGGTGTGGCATACAAATCAACCGTTGTCCCATCAACAGCTAGGACACCATTCTGCCACTCAGGGCAAGTGGTAGCCTTTGCACTATACCTCCGAGCACGGTTAAAATCCTCCAAATCATGGGGAGGGAAGCCCATGAACACATCGTGCTGGTCAAGTAGGGCGACCATGACACGATTAGTGCAGTTAACAATGGAGCCAACACTGACCCCTGCCCACTGAGACACCTCCAGTAGGGAGATGGAGTTACCATAGTGGCCAGCACGGTTAAGAAAGATTGCAAGTTGAATCGCAACAGGAAGCTGGGAGTTGTTTGAGTTGTTGTGAAAAATACGATGGCCAGAGATTAAATCAAGAATATTGTCGAAAATGTCTGGGTCGACCCGTAATTTGTGACGAAATAAGAGAGGGCGATGTTTCCCAAAATGAACTAGAAGGTGGAGTTGTGGGGCTCGTGGGAGAGGTTCATCAGGCCTGTGGAGTATGCGAGCCTTCAAAACTTCGTCCAGAGAGTTGCAATGGAATCTTGCAGGCGATTATAGCGGGCGAGAGTATGATCATCATCATCCGATGAGATGTCCCCATCAGAAAAATCAGATAAGCCTGAGAAGGCTGGAGAAAGAGGTGAAGAGGGAGAAAGCATAATATCCATGAAAATATCAAGATCCAAGTTACGAGTAAGGTCCAACTGAGAGTCGAGGCTCGAGATAGAGTCCGTAGAGTCATCATCTTCCATAACGTGCTGGTATCTTGCCCTGGCTACCACAAGGGCAGCCTGGTCAATATCATTCAGCATTTGTTGACGTTTGGATTGACGAGGCATGATGGGAATCAACAGAATCAACATCCCTATTGAGTTGGTATATGTGACGCAGCTTATAGCGGAGTTTGAAATTTCGGAAAGTTCCGATGTTTGATCTTGTGCTGCACAAGTTGCTACCCCCACACCCACCTGACCAGCGGCATCTCAACTTTGCCCGCATTTCTCTCACCTCTCTGGAAGTCGCACCCCACCCACATCCACCATCCACCTCGTTCTCCGTCTCCGTGGTGGCATGCAGAATTTCTCTCACCTCTCTGGAAGTCGCGCCCCACCCACATCCACCATCCACCTCGTTCTCCGTCTCCATGGTGGCATACAGATCTTCGTCAAGACCCTCACGTTGGAGGTGGAATCATCGGACACCATCGACAACGTGAAGGCAAAGATCCAGGACAAGGAAGGCATTCCTCCTGACCAGCGCCTCATCTTCGCTGGAACGTTGCAAGACAGCCGTACTCTTAGTGACTACAACATCCAGAAGGACTTGGAGGAGTCTACACTGATCTTGCGTCTCCGCGGAGGCATGCAGATTTTTGTTGATGCGATAGGTTTTTCTATAGTAGATGTGGTCAGAATATGAAAGTCAAGCAGGATCACACCAAAGCTTGGCAAGGAGGCTAAAACTTCATGCTCAGGTCACCTCAACAACATTCAATAGCATTGAAACACGGTACAACACCCGGGACGTCATGGTAACAAGCACATTCAAAGGGAGAACGAGCAAAAGCATCGATGTCCTACTGACACAAATGTTGACATGCGCACCATCAAAAGTTACTGAGTCCACACGATGATCTGAGCAACACTTTAATGTGACTCGACTCGCATGGTCGATGAGTGCTGAGCGTGACCATGTACAAAATCCAAGCGCTGTAGCGAACACGGCTGGATGAGCCTCTTGATGATACAGTGGGTCATCATGATAATACAACGCATACTCGGCAACATCATGTATAACACTACTAAGAGGAGGACAACCATTGATATCAAACGCACGAAGTTGAGTCATCAAGGGACATTTCAATTCAAAAATGCTACCGAGTCGGACCTATACAACCTGAACCTGTCACGGTGGGAGGCTTCAGAAAAAAAAAACGAAGTGGGAGGCAACTTGAACGCATACCAATCAGATCCATGAGAGGACGGAATTTGAAGGCAAGAGGTAAGTAGTCACGGTAATCAACCGGGTTGAATGGAGACAAAATACAAAGAGTGCACCTGCAATCACTGGCGATGCTGTTCAGGAAAGGTAATATTTTCCCGGTCTGTTACCTGAATATTCGGATCAGACAAAACCGAGTCCCAACTACTTCGTACAGTCGGGAATTCCCTTTTTAGATGTTCTCGACAAGATGGACGTATAAATTTGCAAAATTTCTTATAAGAGGATTATACATATAAGAAATCAGCCTCCCACTGCCCCAATCCCATGGTCATATATCCTCACTCTCATTCGGTGAAATGTCTAAATCCCAATCAGTCATCGAAACAAACGTCCCACCAGATCCCAGACACACTGACTTACCGGAATCCTCCGTTCACATCTACAGGCTCACCAACCTCGCGTGCAAGAGCCTCTTCCCACCCTTCCTCAAATAGTTCTGCATGCTCAGATGGGTGCACGATGCTGCCTGCGATGCTGCCCTTATTTTTAGTCCGCAGCTCGCCTCGCCATACATCGACTACCTTTGGTACTTTGCTGTGCTGAAATCAGCATCAAATATTACATCCACGGCTAAACCACGCACACCTTGGTGCATATGTTCATGCAAAGAATGCAGCTTCTGGTGCACAATTCGTTTTCAGAAGTAGATCCACACACGGTTTGGTATCGCCCAGCTGAAACAGCGTCACAAACCCCAAATTGTTCGCACCCTTCTCTTCAGCTGTGGCTGCAGGCTTCTGCAGCCCCTCTCAATCACCCATCGAAAGCAGAAGTAGCATCAGCACACTCAAATCACCCGCCTTTTCGAACCCCTCGTGAGCCAGGTCAAACTGCCACACCATAAGAGCACGATCGCCGATTGCTTTCCACTTCGTCTCTGACTCTGGCTCCAAGACAGAGCGTGCGATCTTTACCGCTGTGTCTAGGTCATTGAGCTGCAGTAAGAGGTCGAACTTGTGACCAAGGTCTGTGGTGACCTGCAGAGCAAGCTCCTTGAGGTCTAAGGAGGAGGAGCTGAATCCTGAGCGTGATATGTAATCAAAATCATACATACCTTGACCCTCCAGGAACCGAGCAACTTTGTCTAACTGCCCCTTGGGCAAAGTGGGGAAAATTTCGGCTGCTGAGTCCATATCACCACGGAGGACAGCTGTCTGGTATTCAATGATGCTCAAGGACAACAAATACCCGAAGATATTCATGTTCTTGTCCTCAAGGTACACCTGATTATGTCCAGGTATGTATCCCAGCATAAACATTGAGCTGCAGCAATATCAGTTCAAATGCGATGACCGAAGTGCATCATGCACGGACGTATCAGATGGGCTGATTGTGTATGATTCATTGCCCACAAAGTAGTTGAGGCGGTTTCCGGTCATGGTGTAGATAAAGCAGTCACCTATCCATTTCACCGTCTTCACACTGATAAAGGATATAATCAGTTAGGCACGAAACTTCCGCTAATAACACTGCACCTATCCGAAATCTCAGCAATAACATCAAATGCTTCCTCAAATCCTTTATCCGTAATTTCCACGCCCTCCTCTAGTTTGGAATTGCAGGCGTCTCGATCAAATTTGAGGATACAGTAAGAGTTGTCCGATACAACCGCCACGAGCGACCCTGTCGTCGACCAAGAGATCTATCAAAGTATTAATATCATAAGCGTCCAACCCGTGTCACAAACTCACGTTCTTCGCATATACATCAATCCTCTTCACAACATCCCCACTTCCCCAATCCAAAAAGATCACAAAACCTTTTCCACGAGCGCCAAGCACCGGACCCCCATAAATTGTGTCCACTGCCCAGCTTCCTGTACCTTTCATCCCCACACCACCACGCTCCTTGAAGTTCTTGAATACATGGAGCTTCACATTGCTCTCCAGTACCGCATACGTGTTCGAGTCACCTGCCCACATGAAGCCTGTACCCGACTCAAACACCTTTTCCCGCCATGCGAACACCGTGTAGATAATAAATTCCCCATCACCAACGACAGTCACGAAGTGTCCATTCGGGGAGTGTAGCAGCGCCGTTGCGAAGATATCATACCGATCTTCTTGATCAACAGGGGGATGTGGTTACCATCTGTAGTGGCGATGTCAGAAAGTGTGGCAAGGTTGCCAGATAGTACGACTTGGTTCTTCGTGTATATCAATTTTCCCAATGGGTCCGTGCTGTATGTAGGCTCATCCCAGCCAAGCTCAAGAGGCATCATATATGCAGATTGTGATGATGACATGGTGTCGGCGTAGTTCAGCTTGACCTGGACGGCATTCAGTACAGTGACCACTTATCCACCTGTAAAATACACACATGATATAGACGGGTCCGTGGATTCAGAGGCGTGAGCATATCGCCGAAAAAGGCAAGTGACCCTGATTCCATCCAAGGCTTGTCATGTCAATCATAATCGATAAACAAGCGACCTGAAGTATATCAAGATTTGATGTGTCGATTGGTGAAACATAGGCTGCAACCAGGACATACAACTTTCAGCTGGTGTGTAAGGGAAGAGAAGTGCGTCGCTTAGCAAGAGTAGCGAGTTTAGGTGACATCGAATTCGGAGCGTTGGATCGATATCTGTGCTATGGGATGAGACGAGGGATACAAAAGTAGTGAAAATGTGATTAACGCACCGCAATGAGCTCACATAAAAGATCGGCTGTGAGTCTTACTGTATTGTTTCGTCTGTCTGCTAGAGAAGCTCAGAGGGGCACTGAAGATAAATGAACGTCAGTGTCAACACAATGTTGATTAACAGCGCTATAAAAAAATAAGAAACAAAACTTACATTCAATGTTCTCTCTTGCAGTATTGAGAATGTTGATTGTTGCGTCGCCACCAGAGCTTTTTCTTTGGGTTTCTGCCAACTGCATCCCGTTTCGCAGTAGCATTGATAAGGAATGTAAGCGGGAAAAGTATGTGTGGGTAGGTGGTATGGACTGCTTGGGCAGGGTGCGGTAAGAAAGGGATCTGTACGAATTCAATTATTATCACACAGTCAGGACATAATGGGAGAGAGACGTGAGAGAGAAACAGAAACTCATTGATGATGATTAGCGAAAAGAGGGTAATGGCATAGCCAGGGATGAGTAACCTGACGATGAACTCAGATCATGCATGCGAGATGACAGGAGGGCTGAGAACCCTAAATAAATGAGAATTTGGATGTAAGTCTTGTAATCTTCTGTGGTTTGCCAGACAAATTGAGTATCAAAGCAAGAGGAAAGATAATTCGAATCTTCTTTGAGCATATTCATGATATATAGTCTCGACACATAAGGGTCGTCACAATACCACACACGACCATGATAGACGGTACTGGATTGATATTAGGTGGCGAGAAAAAAACAAGCAGATGTAAGCGTACTCAAGCATGATGGCCTAAATGGCTTGAGTACGATGTTCCTATACAGACATTAAGTACACACTCGCTGCTCTTAATGTCATACATACAAGGGGACCTCAGAAAATCTGTATGAGATCTAGAACAACTCAACACTTGATGGAACACGTGTGATACACGACGCATGAAAAAGACGGCTGCAGTAATGTTGTACCTGAAGCTGGTCAAGTTCAGGTTTGTGGCCATGTCAGCAACCCTCGCGTTTCCTAGTGATGGTCTCAGCCAGTGATCAACAGGAAGTAGTATGCGGTAGCGGTAGATAACTTACCAACATCGACTTGGTCTCTGAAGGTAGCGTGTCAATGTGGAGCAACATCAAGCAGTACAGGTATAATCACAAGAACAAGAAGAGGTAAAATACCATCACAAAAGGTCAGTCCATAAAGGAACGGTGACTGACGACATCGCCGACCTACTCACTGTACTACTAGATGAAGGATGTGAGGAACTTAGAACACTTCAGAAAGAATGAGACATCTCACTCTGGAAGATCCATGCCCGTTCAAAGACCGAAACTCTGCAGTGCCAGCCTCTAGTGGGGTTGATGCATGTCAACGCTACTCGTCAATTCAAGTTAAAATGAGTTGCACAATGGCCGTGATTATTGGCACCAGAGTTGTATCTTTATTTGGTCAAGTTTGTCTGTTGGTATGTGTAAGCGGAGCTTGAAACCAATCAACAGCGACAAACAGTCAACAAATAGTTGAACTTAAATTGAACCTCGCCTTCGAATTGCTTCTACCTCAGGAGTCATCATAGCTCTCACCTAGTACTGATGGGACACGCGCATGTTGCATGCCGACTATCGTCGACTGTACAGCGGGTTGTCTCCTTATGATCATCAGTTGGCTCTCCCCTCGTGATGCTCCATTGACTCTGGAGCTGGACTTGATGTTGCATGCCGACTATCGTCGACTGCACGTCGGGTCCTCTCCATTATCATGTGTATCATTGGCCCTAAACACAGCGGGTCAAGTAGACATGGACTTGACGTTGCATGCCGACTATTGTCGACTGCACATCAGGTTCTCTCTATCATCATGTGCAACATTGGCCCTGGACATGGTGGGCCAAGTGGACATGGACTTGACGTTGCATGTCGACTATCGTCGACTGCACGTCGGGTTCTCTATTGTCACGTGCATTGCTGGCTTAGTAGATGTGGGTCGAGTAGACATGGACTTGACGTTGCATGCCGACTATCGTCGACTGCGCATCAGGTTCTCTATTATCATGTGCAAACATTGGCCCTAGACATGGTGGGCCAGGTGGACATGGACTTGACGTTGCATGCCAACTATCGTCGACTGCACGTCGGGTTCTCTATTGTCATGTGCATCGCTGGCCTAGTAGATGCGGGTTAGACATGGACTTGACGTTGCATGCCAACTATCGTCGACTGCACGTTGGGTTCTCTCTATTATATGCATGCGGCAGCATTCAAGCCCTACACAGTCACTGTCAATGTTACATGCCTGGATTCTCTCTATCATGATGCATCGTTGTCAGATGCCACTAGTCATTGACATTGATAGACTAGTGACTAGTATGTTTGTAGGCCTTGTGAATTTTGAACCATTTTGAGTGAATTGGAGTGCGCCAGTCAAGTCAACCTCAAGTTACAGTGGTACATCCACATATTGTAAGAATGGAGTGTTTAATCCCGTGGAACCAATTCGTGTCGACACCATGTGTGTGCTCTACTCGACCTCCTTTGTGGCACGAACATAATTAACATCAAAAGGAGAGGTCATTCTCGACTTCCTCCCCAGTCTCATCGTGATCAGATGCTTCCTCGTCTTCCTCTTCCTCATCATGTTCGCCTTCTGACTCCTCACTAAGATCATCATCCATCTGCTGTTCGTAGTCATCTTCTTTTTCTTTTTGGCCCTCATCATTGATTCTGCCTTCATCGACGTCCATAGCTTCCCCTGGTGTTGATGAACCGAAGCCAAAACAGTGTCTGACCATCCGCAGAGTTACTGGGTGTCCTACCCCTAAGTGAGTATAACGCAGGAACATATCGCGATCGACAAAACTAACTCCGACGAATGACTTGAGTCTTTATTGAAGCCACAAGAAGATACGCTAGACTCACATCCCAACATAGTATGTTTCCCAATCATCTAGCTCCTCCTTGGCACGTGCTAATGAGTTTCCGTGGCGAAGTGAACCGACACCGCGCCCTGAAGCAAATGCAGGAATTTAATGGGCTCCCTGAATGACTTGGCCTGGATCAAGAAATCCAAATGCGTCACCGTCCAATTCTTCCACAAACGCTACTTTGGGAAGGCGAGTGTGCTGCGTGCCTGACTGATAGTCCGATGACATCAATGGTGCAAGCCACCTGACATAGAGGACCTCGAGGTGCTGTGTCTTGGTTCTACCAGCGGCATCGTGGAGCCACATGTCCATGTGATAAATGCTCAGTACACAAGCATACCAGTATGGGTGGTTAGGTGAGGTTTCTCCTGAAAGTACCATAACATCTGCGTGCGTCCTGGGGTTGATGGTATCGTATTCACGCCTCATGTCGTAAGTGGTATAGTGCACCCGCATTGTCTGTACTGAGTAAACTGTATTATTGGGGATGGTAACCGAGTTGTGTTCCTCATCTGTAAATGAGTGGTCGCAATGAGTAACGTCCAGATTCCTCAGCCTATACAAAATATGATCTTTCAGTTTGGGAATGAAGTTCTGCAAGCAGGCATAAGCGAACTGGTAGTTAAATGAGCTGAAAACCCCTATTTCACCTCAGTAGCTGGATCGCCGTCGTGTTCCCCGAGGAAAGGGAACAAAAAACTGGATCTTTTCGACTGGTTGCGATAAAATGATGGTCTTTGGACAATGACGGAGCAGGAGAGTCGGCCGGTGATTGGTTGCTCGAGGAGGAGATACCTGCTGCTTCCGCGACTCGCCGTAGTACATGGCGCTGTCCTGCATGATTTGGGAATCATGCATGGACATGACTACTAGGTATCCCCCTAAAAGACAAAGTCTGTTAGCTTAGTCCTCAGACTAGTCAACCCATACCTTGGTATCAAACCTTGGTCCAATAGTTTCAGTTTTCCCTCAGTGATTCATGAACCCACCATGTTTTGAAGAAAAGTCATATGTGAGATGGGAATCACATAATGACCTAGTTGATATGAGAAGAAAAATGAAGGTTAAGGTATTGCCTTTCCTTTGGCTTATTCACTTTGGCTAGAGAAACCCATAGAGAAAAGTTCAAAGCCTAACAAAAACCTATCTAAAAAGCCCGCGTATTGTGTACTATTATTTGTTCCATTATTTCTGAGTTGTTTTCTCTAGTGTTTCTTTACTTTACTTTTCTATTAGGATGCTCTGGCTAATCAGATGCTTCATGAAATTGTACCTACAGGGTATAATGTCATAATGATGTCATAGGACTTCACCTACACTCCTGCAGGTATTTTGGTTGAAAGATATGATATCATAGTGATGTCATAATGATGTCATGTTCCATGGAATTTGCTAGAACATTCCAATGACTCATAATGACTCATAGTGACTCATAGTGACTCAGAATGATGTCATTATCCCACCATGAATATTCTGGAATGTTCTTTTGCATCTGCTAGAACATTCTGCTCCAGTTTTTGGAATATTCTTCTCACATTCTGAAGTCATTACATCACCTTTTTACTTACATAATATTCCCACACAAAATGTATATAAGGAGAGCCCATTCTCCCCCAAAAAAATAGATCTCCCACTTGTTGCATTCAAGAACTCCCACTTGAGCAAATTGAACTCTCACCTAAGAAGCTTCAGTCTGAACAAATTGCTGCTTACAAAGCCCATTTCCTTTGTAAGAACTGTCCAGGCAAGTGCAGGGAAAGTGTTTCCCTTGAGATTACGTAAGTTTCTCGCGATAGAAACCCAGTTTTGTGAGACCAGTGTTCTCACCATGTAGTATTTACTGACCAACACGAGCTTTGGTCACCGTTGTTATTTGTGAGACCAGCGTTCTCACCAGGTATTTGTATACTGACCAACACAAGCTTTGGTCATTGTTGTTATTTGTCATTGTTTTCTATTTGTCATTTGTTGTTATTTGTGAGACCAGCGTTCTCACCAGGTATTTGTATATTGACCAACACGAGCTTTGGTCCACGTAGTCACATTTGAGACCAGCTTCTCAACAGTTAACCATATATTCAGGAAACCAGTTCAAGTGTCTAGACGGTATATCCTAGACAATCCCATAGTTTCAATCAGAGATAATAAAGCTCTGGCTAAGTTAATCTGACTGATTGGTTTAGCGAGCCTCCCAAGAACTCACACGTTATCTACCACGAAAGAAGAAAAGTCGTAGACCATGTTAATCGAGGACTGGCAAGAAGTCTTATCCAGTGTAATTGTGGTGTCATTACATTCTTACACGTATTTATATAAGACCCTTGGTTATTAAGACAGCGCCTGCATTCGTGTTTCGCTAGCTGTGCCGGAGTGTCTAACTTGCTAGTTAGCGGATAGAATGCTTTCAAGGCTCTGTGCGCCAGCTCCCCCTAGCCAATAATATATTTTCAGAAACGCCCTCGAGAGAGCAGAGACAATGCTTACAATCTGAGTGGTAAATGAATCTGTCATACCGAAGAGTTTGATGGTTCGCACGTAATCACCCATTGCATGAAACTTGTAGGTGTTCAAATTGAACTTTTTCACCTTTGGTCCAGCAGGCTCTGAAGGAGTATTATTAGGTCCAGCACATTGGGCAAACCGTCGTTGGCGAGCTGCCTTCTCCTTCGGTAATTCCACAGTGGCGAAGGCAGCGCAGGTGAAGTCATGGAACTTCCGTAACTGCCTAGTGAGAATCTTAAATGTGTTCTCAAAGAGACTCAGTGTTGACTCTGAGTGCATTCTTAGCTTGGCAAGTGCGTGCCACTGACAAAATCTATATAAAAGAGACTGTACAATCACATCGTGGCAAGGTGGAAATAACCCCTCGAACACAGGTATTGCACACTAGCCAGGCCACCATTAGCTAGGCAGAGAATAGTAAGTAAAGTGAGAAAAACCTGCAAGATGTCTTCAAAGTCTCGTGCCGCAAGTCTCTTCATCTCGGACGTGTTGTTCGCAAATGTTCGGATCACCCCATTACCAAAAGTCGGAACCTGACAAAATCTACAGTGGGATAGAGATTGCTCCCTGTTATACGATAGAAGTGGTATGCAAAATCCACTTACCTCAAGTCTAGAGTTGAAACCAGCTGATTCCCCCCGGGAAGTGCATAAAGAATCCTGACGAGATGAGTAAATAGTGCCTTCCAAGTGCCGAGCTTGCATTCGTGCATAAAGTCTACAACAAGCATCTGAAATGGGTCGAGGCCCAGTGCGCCCAGCCTCTCAACAAATTTGTTCTGCGATTTACTTTTCTGAGCCAGTACAACAGAGCTGCAGATGATTCGTACTTACTAACACAGGCACCCAGGAACCTTCTCCAAGCGTCTCTTCAACCTTCGCACCATCAACAGTATTTCCCCACATATAAATGAATCCTCAGGCTTTGACAACGTTGGATCGACGTAGACTCGAAGATGATTTATACAGTTCTTCATGTCCTTAACAAGGCCTAGATAAGAAAACAAACTTTTTGGAATGAGGCAACGGGGACATGGGCATGAGTCCATTTCCTTAATGGTGGCAATCAAAACCCTGCAAATCTTTGAGTAATCCCCTCAATTTTTAACGACTAAACGTACTTTTCAGGATAATCGGCCAAGTATGTGAATATACAAGGGTATATCCTGCGTAACACACCATCGGCACATCTTAAATAATGCCATGGCGGTATGCATGAAGAAATTCTTTATCTAGCAAGATATCCCAGCATGCGTGGAATAACTCGTGTCGACAGTGTGTGTGAAGGGCGGCCATACCGCTTGTTGATATTTGAGGTAAGTCAATCAGAATGTCTTCGACTTTATCAGGCAGCTGGTACACAATATGAAATAGCGTTTAAAATGTACCAATAGGGCGACTCACCGATGGTAAAAACCCGATAAGGTGACATGTGCCAGATTTTGGTGCAGAACGTGCATACTTGGTCAGGTTTCCGAAGTACATGTACAGGGGCCATGCCTTTGCTGTTCCGAAGTTTGCAAGATGCGTGGCATCTGAAAAAAACATGAGGGAAGCAACTACCCGTTCCAGTGTACATCCAGGTTCCCTTGGGAGCTTCTGCACCTCGTCTTGGGCATCCAGCCACGAGTCAGATGTATATAACTCATTGAATATGCGCTCTTCGTGGTCATCCAACGGTGAGGCGATCTCAACCTGGCTGGGCTGATATGAAATATCTAAAAATGCTCAACCAGTATAAGTGAGTCTTGGCTCTGCCTAGCTGCTATACTTGCAGAATGCAAGAACGTTCGACCCTAGAGGGGACTGCTACTGAACACAGAACCAGATGAATGAAAGACCCTTGAAGTGCGATGGATGCGTGAAAGCGCAAGAAAAAAAGCGAAGTGAGTGCGAAGTGCGAGAGAGCGCACTAAGGTAAGCGCGAGCGTGGGAACGTGAGCGCTAAGGCGCATGTTGAGTGGGAGAATACCGGATAAGGAAACGGATAAGGAAGCGGATGTGCAAAGCGAGTGCTAATGCAGAGCGAGTGTTATAACGAGCGCGGATAAAGGTCTAGTATAGGCGGATAATAATAACCATTGAAAACACAAAGTGCGCCCAAGTGGTGACTACTACTTTAAGGTAAAACCCAATAGCGAGGGAAGTACAGCAAAGGGGAGTAATAATGATGGAGTAGTAAGTCAGCAACTTTATACTATGGAAATCACATCGGAAGCGGAAGGGATAGGAGCAATAAGCGCTATGAATACGTAATGACATGTAATAGCGCTGCAATGCTTGTTACAAACCACGAGGCAAGGGATATGACGTACCAATGAGGTGGGTGGACATAGACGGACGTTCCTGGATGATAGGCGATGCAGGGCGCTTAAGCGCGAGAAAGCGCGCAAGGTGCGCGTGTGGGAATGCTGCGCGTTGTGCGGGAAAGTACCGCGCCTATGGCGCGTTTCGCAGGAAAGCTGCGCGTTATGTGTAAAACGACTAGAGACATGATAGAAGTCGAATATAGCTGATGGTGCAAGTTGTGCATTGAAGGCCAATTGTCATGAGTTGTGAAAAGGTGCGAAATGTGCCCATATGTGCCTGCAGAAACGCGAGTCTCTACAATGGGTCCCTCCACAAACACTTGAATGGTGAAAGGTGAAATGTGTTCGCTTGGATATCCGTGAAAGCTGACTGATTATCTCGACGAGGGGATGAAAATGGAATCCGGGAACAGAAAATGGTCTCGCATCCTCCTCCTTCGATTTCGTCGGAATCTTGATACTGACACTGGCCTGGGTCCAGTCATCTCAAAACTCTATCTTCTTCCCACTGGGGTCATTGTCCAATTCACATAAACTCTTTCTGACCGAAAAGTTCTCCAGGTGCTTTATATCAAAATCCTCTGCCAGGATCACTTCTTTAATGAGACGAGCAACTTCAGTCTCGGATTTCTGGTTGCTACCAGAATTCATCCAAGATATGAGTCTATAGACTGTCATATTGGGAAATGGATATGGAGGCGGGAGGATGTCTGAATGGGTATCTTGCATGACCGTCAGACACGTGGTTGAAAGTAGTGAGGACAGGATAAGTTTATCTGGCTCAAAGGATGGGCAACAAGGATACAGTTGGGAAAGTCCAAGAGAATTGAAAGTAGTCTGAAATGTGTCTCGTAACATTAATAGAACTCTGCGTATTCTAGATTGCGGCGGGGCTGGATTTCGAGTGGAAAAAACATCGCCTATATTAAAGTTGTTGGCGTCCTCGTCAGAAAGAGGAAGATCTTCAAAATATTTCGGTATTCATCCCATCGACTGAGTGTGCGAAGGTTCTTCTGACAAGTGAAGCACAAAACAGTGACTCAGGTATCAGTCGACTTGTCAGGTGATTTGTTGCTGATGACATACCCAAAGCATCAGCCTCGAACAGTGCCGTGTTGTCGGAGCTATCATTATGTTCAAAACCTATTATGCCGCGGCCAGTACTAGACATGCCAGCTTGGCCCCTCTCCTGCTTGATGATTTGCACGGAATAATGGGCTTTGAGCGGTCTTGCTCTGCTAGTGCACGGGGCTGGTGAATAGGCAATACTTTCTAGAGATCGTGACCGGTCAAACATAAGTTTGTGCTTCTGAATGATCACTGTAGAAAAGATTCACCAAAGAGTTGGTTGAGCCTGATTTAACGGTTGTAGATTGTGTCAGAGTTAGTCTGGCGGCTGCCGCCTCTCTGGCCCTCTCTTGCCTTTTCTCACTGGCTAGAATGCTGGACCGCTGGTAAAATTTGCATGTTGCACGATGCCTGTTAAGTCCTCAACTATTGGTTGCTTTTTCCATAAACAACCTGGGGCATTGCAGGATATCATTAAATAAACGAAGAGTAAAAGAAGAATGAGCCATATGACTCGTGCTATGCCAGTGCGCATTCAAACGAGGAGTCCGAGTCAGGCTTCCCTCCGGTGCCTGCCACGCTAATAGTAGTAACTCTCAAGCTTATCCACGTTCGTACTCTAAGCACGTGCGATTGGCAATCATCATTATGACACTAGTATCAGTCACTAATGGATTCTACAAAACCAACCGGTGTTCGTACTTAAAAATTCCCGTATGCATCATCATAACTCTTATCTTGATACAACCAATCAGATCATTTCAGTCGCTCTGTCACGATTAACCAGACTGGTGGACCAAGGAGTTGCCACTTTTACAGTCACAAGATACATGTATTTCCAACATCATCTGAATCGGTGTAGAGACTCGCGTTTCTGCAGGCACATATGGGCACATTTCGCACCTTTTCACAACTCATGACAATTGGCCTTCAATGCACAACTTGCACCATCAGCTATATTCGACTTCTATCATGTCTCTAGTCGTTTTACACATAACGCGCAGCTTTCCTGCGAAACGCGCCATAGGCGCGGTACTTTCCCGCACAACGCGCAGCATTCCCACACGCGCACCTTGCGCGCTTTCTCGCGCTTAAGCGCCCTGCATCGCCTATCATCCAGGAACGTCCGTCTATGTCCACCCACCTCATTGGTACGTCATATCCCTTGCCTCGTGGTTTGTAACAAGCATTGCAGCGCTATTACATGTCATTACGTATTCATAGCGCTTATTGCTCCTATCCCTTCCGCTTCCGATGTGATTTCCATAGTATAAAGTTGCTGACTTACTACTCCATCATTATTACTCCCCTTTGCTGTACTTCCCTCGCTATTGGGTTTTACCTTAAAGTAGTAGTCACCACTTGGGCGCACTTTGTGTTTTCAATGGTTATTATTATCCGCCTATACTAGACCTTTATCCGCGCTCGTTATAACACTCGCTCTGCATTAGCACTCGCTTTGCACATCCGCTTCCTTATCCGTTTCCTTATCCGGTATTCTCCCACTCAACATGCGCCTTAGCGCTCACGTTCCCACGCTCGCGCTTACCTTAGTGCGCTCTCTCGCACTTCGCACTCACTTCGCTTTTTTTCTTGCGCTTTCATGCATCCATCGCACTTCAAGGGTCTTTCATTCATCTGGTTCTGTGTTCAGTAGCAGTCCCCTCTAGGGTCGAACGTTCTTGCATTCTGCAAGTATAGCAGCTAGGCAGAGCCAAGACTCACTTATACTGGTTGAGCATTTTTAGATATTTCATATCAGCCCAGCCAGGTTGAGATCGCCTCATCGGCTAAGGCTATACTTTTCTTCAGGGTATTGTGCGTGGCAGTAATGCTCAGTCATGTAGGTGGTGCGAGTATTTACAGAATGACTTCTACCTTGTCATAATCAGTAAGCGTAGACAAAACAAAACATGATGATAATCACCTAACCTCAGCCATCCGAATCGGACCCGGACTCAAAGTCCAAAAGGTTCCTTCTTACATTATCATGATGAGCCAAATCTGACTTATCTTTCTTGGGCAAGTTGCATGCAAGGTCCTCAACTTGTTCAAGCTGCAAGTCCCCAACAGCAAGTGACGTGAGGTCATGACTGTATGTGCCGACCTGGAAGTCCATAACAGCTTCAAGCTCTTGCTTGTCCTGTGGAACAAGCGTTTCCACAAAGGAAACTGCTGCTGCGCAATTGGCAAACTTTCTAGCTTCGTCCTTGAAAATCAATTCAAGAAGTTTGGAGTGCTCTGATGAGGCCTGGATTTCCCAAGCTGTTGTCATAGCGTGTAAGCGCATAGATTCACAAGCAGCCCGCTTGGCAATGACAATTTGATCGATAGTCTCCTGAGATAGGAGTGCAACACCACGCTCGAAGACGTCTTTGCCCTGACATATGATGTTTTGTTAATATGAAGTCGTGCACATTTAACTAAAATTGGGCTAACATACCGCTTTGACATCTGCCAGACTCATATCAGTCTCGCCGGGGTACTTCCTGCAAAATCTATCAACATAACGGAGCTCTAGTGCAGTGGGAAAGCGACCATGAGGCTTCTCATACGGCTTAAACTTCTGTTGCGCTCGAACGACATATTTAGACAGTTGCTTGGTGATTGCAGGAGGTTTGGGTATTGCTGTGATGAGATCTGATAAGTCATTGTAGTTGGTATCTTTGGACGACGATAAGCATCAATGTTTGGATGATGACCCGGATAGGATTGAGTCAGACGGTCTGACTCTCCTGTGACTGCGCTCGAGACATGAGGCGTGTGAATCATCAAGCTGTTGACAAGATCCATCACTGCTCTGACGGGCATGGCCGACAGAGCTTGGAGGAGTATGTGTTTGCATTGTTTAGTGGTTGTGGAATGTGAACCATGGACTCCGTCGGAGTTGGAAATTGACAACGCATACATAAGCGTTATTCTTCTACCCCCTCTATGCTATCAACATCATGAGAATATTCCATGTCAGTCCTGTGGTGCATATGGTGCACAAGTTTGTGCGGTTCGCAACTCGCAGATTCATGTGAGTATGTGCCATTTTCTCTTGCTTGCGACAGGCAGTTTCATTCAGCAACTGTGTAAGCAACAATTCCTGCTCCCGGAATTGTTCGTCAAGGCCAAATTTCATTGGCTTCGAAGAACAACAACTTTCTCCTGCTGATCGTCCTGCAATCCACAAACTTGTTACTCTGCATTGTCGCAGAGCTTGCCTTGCTAGTTCAAGTTTGCTAGTTGACTGTTCCATGACTCGGAGGTTCGCAAGATGCTGGCATTCATATTTGGCAGCAGTGAGTTCGCTCTGAGTATTGGATAGCATCTGCCTGACACATACTAAGAGAGCCTTCCGTCACGGCTCTTCTCTGGTCGTCGTCCGTGAAAGCTGTGATCTGTGGCAATCTGACTGAATGGTCAATAGAAACATGAAGGGGCATCGATAGGAATGTTGACTTGCAAAATAAATTTCAGAGAGGGCGCAAAAATTTGGCACTACAAGACCCACTACGATGGTGGCAGAAATCCAGCTATTATGTTTCAAAGCAACTCGTGCCTTCATCAAATCCAGCACTTCTTCTGCTGCACTCCATGACCCCTGAAAACCTGCCGGTCTTGTGAAAGTTTTATTAGGCAATCGCATTCAAAGTTTCTGGAGGATGGCTTACCCAACATCAGGATGTACAATGGTCACAGTCACTTGAGGGATTCCCATTCCAAGGAATAATGACAGGCGTACTTTGCGAGGGCTGCACGATTCGCTCTAGCTCGACTCAGCAAAACAAGGGGTCAATGCGGTGCAGCGATCAAATATTCCTCTCGCAATTTAGAGAGGTGTCCCAATTCCTGGGCTAGAATATCCCATCAAGGATTGCAGTGTCAGGTTGACCTTTTCCAGGAAGGAGAATGATGTATGTTGATTCTTCGGTCTCTGGATTGCAGGGCTTTAATGAGCTGATTACTGCTGCTAATTCCAGATACGCACCTGACTCGACAAACAAACACTCCTACAGATCAGGTGTATGTGCCAGGATCGTTTGTCCGCATTGAATGAGGTATAGTCTTGTGTCTTGCACTCCAATGTGAAAGAGAAATAGCTACTAGGCTGGTTAGAAACTAGCACTACTTATCCAAATAGGCGCGAGTGTAGTATTCGACCCAAGAGGACTGCTATTGAAGTAACTCCCTTCAAATATGCAAGGGTAGCAATGATGCGAAGGGCTAATAACCTATAGCGACCTAAGACCAAAAACCAATGAGTAGCGCTGTAGCGATCAGCGACTAGCGACAAGTGAGTTCCGACAGAGAAATGTGCGTATAAGTGAGGAGCGCTATGCAAGTTGTCCTATGCGATAGTGCTATGCGACGTCCGACTAGCAACAGCAAGAAGAAATTAAAAGAAGGGAAAGCAAGGAATAAGGTATGATAGTGCAAGTGGAATGCCCGATAGCGACTAGTTTATAGCTCGACTACCGACAACGATCCCGACATTGCAAAAATCAAACTTATGAGGGGACTTTTAGCGACGCGCACTCAAAGCAAGTCAAGCGACACGCGATCAGAGAGATTGGCAAGAGCGGAATCGATTGCACCAAATCTAGGATATAGCGACTAAAGTGACTCTGACACCAGCAAAGGTCCGGGGAAGGGAAGTACTGTACTGTATGTGCAACGGGTCATTTTATCATACTGCGTAAAAGTTCGGGAATGCGTAGGCGAGAATAGTAGCGACACTGATGAAGGCACGATGTAGCGACAGGTAATAAGACATGCAGTGCAGTGGAACACGAGGATGCATGTAATAAGACCTGCAACTGATGAGTAGCGACATTTAAGGAAAATAACGCACCAGCGGAGGTAGGTGGACATAGGCAGGACATGGGAGGACAGAATACCTAGGCGTCGGGCTGGGCAGCGCGCTATGGGAGAAAAGCAGTTCCAAAGTGGATAGCTTGGGAGCTGAATAGTGCTGGTGACTAGCGTTTTACTCCTTTCCTCAAGGTAAGGCAAAATGTGCCCATGACACTCATACGCGCCTAGCGCTGGTATGATTGTCACACCGATAATGGATCTCGAACCTTTGAATTGATGTTACAAGAGCTACCTCCAAAAGAAACCCCTTATCAAGCGAAGACGCATTCACCAGAATACCATCGGGCCCGACCTGGCAGGCTCCTCAACTCATCCAAACTCCTCACATTTTTGCATTCAAAGGTAACTCCGCAGGATATCAGCTCAGATTATATCCACGGAAGACATTCAGCTGGATTAACTGAAACTGTGTCGAATGCGACTCCAGCTTTGAATGGCTCAGGGATGTCAGAGAGGGAAAGTTTCCTCATCTGCTCCCACAGGTAAATGCTAAAGGGCATATGAATGTTCATATAATAACACTTTGACATCTTGATGACTCACCGATCAAGAGCACTAAGACAAAAGCCCAAGCCAGCATCTATGTAGGCCAAATCGCGATGCTGACGACACCCAATGCAAACATGAGAGCCAATAGGGACAAGTACTACCTGGGGTGGGGAATTGCATTGAGTTGTAATCCCTGTGGGAGAAGTTTTTTTGACATACCGTTTGGGAACTTGTGAGTATCGACTCATAACGCGAGTATGAATGTCTGTTTGTGCCCCGAGTGACCGTTCTGCTTGATACCAAATTTGCTCCTGAAAATGAACAAAGCAATGAACGATAGTCGCTAAGACATTTCAGTCAATCTGTGTCATAGCTATAATGCATGCTTCCTTACCAGTGATATAGATAAACGAGAGACTGATGAAAAGGGGTTTTCTCAACAGAAGATAAGATCGATCGCCAATTAGTGAACTTACACATAAAACATCACGAACGCTGTTCTGTTATCGAAGTGGGTATATCACCAGAGTAGAGAGTGTAATCCCTTACGGAATAAATATTGGACTATACTCCTTGTATGCTGTCGCGTTGAAAGTGCTTTCTGACGTCATTATCCGGGTTACAAATGTGGTCTGTGTTGTCGAAGGAGGCCTTGACAAAACACTAGCAAGGATTAAGCTGATGTTATGTAGGGAGAAACAGAGATTAGACGAACGGCATGCATAGAGAATACTAGGTATCTTAAAACTGTGAAGGAGTCAATTCATCAGTCGTGAAATCTCTGTGGATCACTGATGTATAAGACAGGCATTACTATCCCTAAGATAACAGTTCAATAACCAAATACCTCGGACTCACAATAGAATACAAAGCCAACAATGACGTTTACCATTGCCCTGATTTTGATCAGAGTTAGACTAAACATTAAAGAGATGCCACAAGACTCACAAAGCATGGCTAGTGGCAACCCAATGTATCTGGACAACCAAGCTCAGAACGACAGTAAGGTAGGAACGACCAAGTGCATACGCAAATTGGGCCCAGTCAAATGTTACCAGACATTCCCTGATGCAAAATTCAAAAAACATGATAGGGACCAAGCAAACATCAACATACCATACCGCAGTTTTATCAGCGCATGGTATATGATTCTTTAGCGAACAAAAAGACGTACCCCGAAGAACTGTGAAATGACCAGGGGTACTGCGTGAGTGACATATCATACATCTGTGTCTCGAGACTCACCAGGATCATCAGGTCAGATCCATGTTACCCAAGAAAATCATGAAAGGGCCTAGACTGTGCCAAAAAAATTGACAGAACAAGGTTGCTATAGGGAATATACCTTACACAGGTATGTAACTAGCAAAAAAGTCTGGATCATCAAAAGGATAGATTAAACAAGAATGAAAACTGGGGAAAATCCACACACCACAAGAATGCGCTTGTGAAAACATAGACGCGAGTCGCAGGCCAGATCATGCGGAGGCGATACAAGAAACCGCTGTGTGATTCCCCCGGTGGAGAAGCCAATTAGGTCTGTCTAATTTTGGTGCTTTGAATGCGTGCTTCAGGAAGGACTTACTGTGCAAACAGAAGTCGCACCCACCGAAGCCATGATCTATTGTGGACAGGTGGCGATAAAACAAGGCTAACAGGGTTTTAGGGAGAGGATCTACTGTTATCAGCTCGTGCTCCTTGATAGTGAAGGGACCAGGGTTTAGTGACATCCTCGAGATTTTTATTTCGAGGAAGATAAGCAGCACAGAAGCGGCCTATTGGAAATGAGAGTAGCTGAGCAACAATGCCAGTGACGGGCACACTGCGATAGCGGAAGAAGAAAAACTGATTGACACCAGGCATGATAATTGCCCAGACCAAGCCTAAAACCCATGTACGAATGGATCATCTGTGTTTACGAGTCAACAGTGGATCAAACCTTTGGATAGGGTGACTTGTTATCAAATTCTGTGCTATATGAAGGGCTGAAGTTCGGGTGGCCAAAGTTCGCACTATGATCATTGATGGGACGCCGAGTCTGTTTCATTTCAAAATTCAAGGATGACTGCATAATGCGCGAGAGGCAGACGTACTACAGTGAATGCAGACTTGGCCCAAGCTTGTGAAACCGGACGGTCTTCGGGCAGTTCCCTAGCGATCATGACCATGATATAATATGAGACCTCGTTGCCCAAGGCCGCTAGCGAGGTACGCAATTGCTAGCCTAAGCACACCTTCTCCAACCCGGGACAGTGAGACACTAGT